GCTAGACGCTGACAGTCCCTCTAAGAAGCCAACGACCAGCAAAAGCCGGCCGGGCTATTTAGCAGGTTAAGGTCTCGTTCGTTATCGGAATTAACCAGACAAATCACTCACCAACTAAGAACGGCCATGCACCACCACCCATAAAATCAAGAAAGAGCTATCAATCTGTCAATCCTAGTTATGTCTGGACCTGGTGAGTTTCCCCGTGTTGAGTCAAATTAAGCCGCAGGCTCCACTCCTGGTGGTGCCCTTCCGTCAATTCCTTTAAGTTTCAGCCTTGCGACCATACTCCCCCCAGAACCCAAAGACTTTGATTTCTCGTAAGGTGCCGAGCGACACATAAAATTGAGTTCGCCCGATCCCTAGTCGGCATAGTTTACTGTTAAGACTACAACGGTATCTGATCGTTTTCGATCCCCTAACCTTCGTTCTTGATTAATGAAAACATCCTTGGCAAATGCTTTCGCAGTAGTTAGTCTTGCGTCAATCCAAGAATTTCACCTCTAGCAACGCAATACTAATGCCCCCAACTATCCCTATTAATCATTACGGCGACTCTAGAAACCAACAAAATAGAACCGCACGTCCTATTTTATTATTCCATGCTAATGTATTCGGGCATAGGCCTGCTTTGAACACTCTAATTTTGGTGACAAATTACCTTTCGATATGTTGCTGGGGCTTAACTGGTTAAGAAACCACCTTTTATTCATAGGGCAAGGAGACACGGGGACATACCTGACCTTCAACGGTGATACAGGGCATGTGATGAGTACCAGGACCCATGAGTACCTGCAATGGATACTCGTAAGGCACACCATTGGGTACCTGTATCCGTGGATACAGATACTCGTTCCCACAGGTGGCTGCATGGATACAGCCTGTTGCGCTTCAGGCCCCACAGATACTTGTGGGAGAGTACCTGCCATATCCCATCGGAATTTGCCGGAGGCCTGACATGTGTCCAGTGATGCTTTGCTGGCACACTCTTCTCTGAGCACACACCACCATTGACAGAGTTGACAGATTGTGTTTCTGTGTTTGCTGATGATGCTCATTCTAGGCACTTGTTTCTTTGTCTATTGGTACTTTGTTGGAAGAGATTTGGTGTGTTCATTGTTGGGAATGATGGTACTCACCTGATGAGTCCCTCCCTCCCACTCTTATTATAAATTTGTTTGTTCTCCACGTACATTTCCAAAGTTGTGAGGTCAATCGATGTTTCTGGATGTTCCACATCGCCTCCTGTACTTGGTTTGATGCAATTTGGCCCACCTGTTGTCGAGAACAACACTATTGACCTGGTGAGTACCCCCCTGCTTCCTTCTATCATAAATTTGTTTGTTCTCACTCAATTCCGCATACTTTTCCAATGTTGCGGGTTCAATTGACCCGTATTAATGTCCTTCATCACCCGCTGTACTTGGTTTGATGTGATTTGACCCACTCATTGTTGAGAACAATGGTCCTGATCCGGTGAGTACCCCTCCACCCCCTTCCCCAGCTCATATTTACCACAGTACCCACAGGTACCCCTCTGGTACCTTCAAGATACCTGTAGATTATTTCTATCCATAAGTACCTGCCCATCGGCAAGTACCTGCATCCGTGGATATGGATACCCATTCCCATGGATGCCACCCTGGATACAGGGAGCTGGGGTGGTCAATGAAATCATATATCAAGGAAGGTGTAGTGTACTTGGCCATTCAAACGAGATAGTTCAGTAAAGTGACTTGCCTCAGTACTTTAGAGTACTGAGGCCTCTGAGGCACTACTGTATAGTATTGTGTGAGTAAAAGTTCTGTGGTGGTCAAAGGTTTTGTCCACAGCTGTAATGTCCAGGCTTGGATAGTGATCCAAGAGTGGACGCTCGTTCAAGTGCAGGCGTGATGTCTATCACGAGTGCGATCGGCCGTGTCCTAAGAAGCCTTACTTCTGGTTCGAGTAACTGGTGTAGTGGCGATTCTACACAGTCAAAGGGTCTTGATGTCGATAAGGAAACTAGTCCTGCTGAAAGGACTAGTTCAAGTACAAGCTAAGAGACCAGGTAAAACAGAGATGAATAGGTTAAAGAACTCCCCTCTACTAGGGTCGTCTTTATATACTAAATACATGCGCAGCCCTTGAAGGCTATGAGACAGATAAATAAGTCAGTCTGAGTCGTACCGATACTGTGCCCCAGTCCGTAGTTGCTGCGGAAACCTATACCTAATAAATATAGTATACAAGCGTATGGAAACCTATGAGTCGCAGTCCAAGGCTATGAAAAGCTATGTAGTCCGTAGTCGAGAATACGAAGGAGTCGAGATACATCTACTAGTCCATGAAATGTTCATCAACCGGCCATATGAGTGGAAGATGTATATGTGGTTAAATAAAGAAATACTACCCCTCGAGTCATAAGAAGAAAAGGAAACGAAAATAAGTCCATAACAACAGCTTCAGCCGTGCATAGCTCAACGAGTTCCGCTCGGATCAACTTGTTGTATAGACCAAAATTGTAGCTCACAATGCCTACTTTCACACTGTAACCTGGTTGGAATTCATTTGTTGGGTACTTCCTGAGATATGAGCCAAACAACCAAAAGCAATGCATAGTGGGCCATTGTGGCCACACCATAACAGCCTTTGGGCATAATGGCTTATACATAGCCTAAAACTACACTATCATAGTATTCCGTAGCACATTTTACCTCAATTTTTGGTGATGCCATTGAGGAGCTATGTGCCGTGCAAGACAGGCTTCAGATGGCTCTTTGTGCCACAAATTGCCTTTTTTGGCTCAAACTCACAAACTTGCACGGCACATAGCTCCTCAACGGCGCCACCTAAAATGGAGGTAAACTGTGCTATAGAGTACTGTGATAGTGTAGTGTTAGGCTTTGTATAAGCCATTATGCCCAAAGGCTGTTATGGTGAGGCCACAATGGCCACTTTGCATTTTTTTCGGTTGTTTGGCTTATATCTCAGGAAGTACCGAACAAAGAAATTCCAACCAGGTCACAGTGTGAAAGTAGGCATTGTGAGCTATAGTTTCGGTCTACACAACAAGTTGATCCGAGCAGAACTCGTTGAGCTATGCACGGCCGAAGCCGTGAACAAAACTTTTGACCGCCACAGTACACAATGCTGGTTTGTGGGTATAGTACTTTTGTTCATTGTAGTACTTTTTGCGTGTTTCGTACTTCTGCCAGCCTAGTACTTTCTGCTGGTGTAGTACTTTTTTCCAGTGCAGTACTTTCTGCTGGTGTAGTATTTTTTTCCGCTGCAGTATTTTCTACTGGTGTAGTACCCTTTTCCGGTGCAATACTTTTTCTGGTGTAGTTTTTTTCTGCTGGGGTAGTGCTTTCCGCCGGCGTAGTACTTTTTCTGGGGAAGTACTTTCTGTGGTCTTAGTACTTTTGCTGGGATAGTACTTTCTATTGTTATAGTACTTTCTGTCGGCATCGTACTTTCCGTCTGTGAACACTGGCTCGCTTAGTATGTTCTAGTATTTGCCATGGGTATGGAGATACTCGCGGTGTTTTGGACCTATACCCGCACGGTATGGGTATGGGTTTGACCCTCCCAGACCCGCAAATTTTGGTTGCCCTGTGAGAAATGTTCCGAGTGCTCTGTGGCATCCTAGAGCACTCGAACTGGTGTTTTAAACACCTTCTAAGTCTTCAAATATTTATTCGTTACTTTCATGAATTAATTGACCAAACCCTGCGCGTAAAAACCTGCGGTCTTGCAGGTACGGGTTTAGCGTGTCATGACCTTTCGTCATTTCCATCCTCTTTCTATTATTTCCTGGTGTGTGCCACAGTTGGGCCATACTTTTCCGAGTTTCTGTGCCACAGTGGCCTGGGTTTGGTTGTGTTTGGTTCTGTCTAGTATATAAACCTAACTACTTCCTGTTTTTTACTCTAGTCTTGAGATCGTCAGTCTCCCCCCTATACAACCTTTTTCTCGCCCTTGGTGTGTGTTTCTGAGTGAGAGATCGCCTGCCAGCAACCCCTCTTTGTAGGATATGGTGGTTCTGGTGTGGTCGTGACACAGCGGGTACGGGTATGGTTCTCAAAGTTGTACCCGCAGTTAGACCCGTGCCAAACCCTAGTATGTTCGCGTAGGGATACTGTACTATTTCGATCAATTCGGCGGTCATGCATCATAGGCCCTCCGAAATCGACGAAATGTCACAACTGTAACACAACACATTGCCAAATGTCGAAACCATCGGGCGGCTTTTCGTCCCAAAAGGGCAATTTTGAACGATTTTTGTCGATTTTTTGCTCGGTGTCACGTGGCTTCGCCGCATTGACGAAACCATCGCGGACGCGGAGCCTGTCACACCTCACAGTACGTGCCGAATTGATTGAAATAGTACAGTAAACCCATGTTTTGTTATGTTTTTTTTCTGTCCCGGCCCGACCGCTTGAGATCGCCTGACCATGATTGCTATGTTCTTACTTTATCCACTTACCCGTATTTTTACTTACACTTCTGATTTCTTGGATGAACATGGATGTTCCATGTAAAGTGGCCTGTGGATGTTGCGCACATGGAGTGTTTCAAGACGAAACCGTGGCCAACCGAGGCCTGTAACATCAGTAAGTCACTCAATAGTCAAGAAAGGCCACGAAGTGCCACTCCCAAAAGTAAAAGCACCCACCACCCTGCTCTGAATTTTTACGACCTCAAGATGACAGGGAGGATACTTCTGGTTCCAGTACCTATCACACTGAAATACGAGATGGACAGCACAACATAATGGTTTAATTAAGGCCTAATGGTCTAGTAGCATGATACCTCCTTCGGGCTTTACAACCCGGATATCTTTGATATCTTGATTTGGAGGTGGTCCTGGGTTCAATTCCCAGTTAGGCCCTTTTGTTATTCTTTTCTTCGGACAACCTGTCCCTATATCATTCAACCGTTTTGGTCCAGAGACCTTTTACCTACACGTTCAGCATTTTCAGGCATAGTTTCCGTCAAACTTGTTGTACTTGATACTCGCCATAGAACACCCGAACCATTTCGGCTTGTAAGACTTAAGGACTGCTTTCGCACTGGCAGCAAACCTGTGTGCGTCCGACTGGAAGGTGATAGGATGCTCTGATACAACTCCATGCCTACAATTGAGTATAGCGTGTGCGTGTCGAAGTCAATGATATCGATCAAAAGTCGATAACGAGGCCCGACACCACTCACGCAAAGGACACGCTCCGCGCACGCCAAACGCGAGAACGCTAAAACAAAGCCAAACTACAAACCAAACTTTGTACATGCAGAGAAGAGAAGAAAAGATGGAACCGGTCAAATCGAACCGGAGACGGCGACTGCGTACTAGACGGAGGATGTGAGCATGGGCGGCTGTGCGCGCAGGACACTGTACATTGACAAGAAATGAGGACGATGACTGGACGGATAGTTGACATGGAGCGAGAATGGGGAATGTACAATGGAGGGGGCCGAGTACTCGTGGACAAGAAAGTGGGGACGTCGTTGACGGTGATAATACACAGAATGAGTTGTGGAGTGGGCATGAGACACGCTGATGCGAGTCGCTCAAGAAAAGGTTATATACAGTATCCTATAAGCGAGGAAAAACGCCGACGAAGTTAGCCAACGAGATAGCGGTTGCAGAAACAGAGCACACGCACCTTCGAAACATCGATCAACTACTCACTAGATCGCCGGAGCCACATTCGCCCCCGCCGCTACGAGCGCTGCTCCTCCCCCGACCTCCATTGCACCCGAGGCTCCAACTTCGTCTACTTTCCCGGCCAAGAAATCCAAGCACCCGTGCGAACAACCCCTCCACAACAACGGCACCCGTCCAGACTTTTCCCCGACCTTATGCCCAGCGATCTTCTCCACCCAAACAAACCTCTCCTCCGCGGGATGCAAGAACGGCGGACCCTCGTACACCCATGACCATTCCTCCCCTTCTTTCGACCACTCCTCCTCTCCCTTTCCAGTCTCACCGCTCGTACCCGCATCGCCCTCTCGGGCGGGGGCCACACGGACCCGATGCGACGGGTTAGGACATCTCTTCAACGCCCATTCGTCGTTCATATCCTCTCCGTCGACATATCCATTCACCTCCTTCCCATCCCCCCGACTCGGAATACTCTTCGCCACGATATCCGCGCCACAACCTCGCAAAGCACGAAGGACGTTAGGAGAGCCTTCAGCGGGGAGGGGAGGGCTGGCGATGGTGGTCAGGTTGGTAGGCGTCCGAGTGAAGGAGCGTTTGAATTTCTTGAGGGGAGAGGGCGATACCACGTCGTTGGATGTGGGACGAATCTTTTTCGGTGTTATGTTGGTTACGAGGAAAGGCGGGGCCGATGAAGGCAGAACGGTAGGTGATGAAGATGTGGCTGTAAGGGAACGCGTGCTAGTTGTCGCGGTTGAAGGGGCGGGCGAGTTCAGATATCGATAGCTGAGCTCAAAGAGGGATTGGACACGTGTTTCGAGCAGGGTGATCGTCTCGCCAGCTATAGAGCGAGGTAGTTCCACGACGCCGCGTACGTCTGTCGCGTTCTGGGCAGGGCTTAGCCCTGAGGTGTCAGAGGACGAGCCTGGAGCAGATATGGACGAGGATGGCGAAGAAGTGGATGCTGGGGGTGGAGGTGTCGGTTCGGGGAGCCAAGGGTTGCCGGTAATGGATAGGTTCTGGAGCGAGGGCATAGACGCCATCTCGGCTGGAAGGAATCTAAGACGGTTCGACGAGATGTTGAGCTCACGGAGAGCAACGAGCTGGCAGATTTGTGGTGGGATACGTTCGATGAGGTTATTGCCTATGAGACGATGGTTGAATACGACGTTGTTAGACTTAGATCTGCGAAGGGATACATACAAGCACGTAAGACACGTACGGATAGACAAAACGGTCAAATTCGTCAGGTCGAAAAGCTCTCGGGGCAGACGGACGATCTGGTTCTGAGCGAGAAAGAGTCTCAATCCTCCGGGATCGTTCGCGTCGTTCTGGGTATGAAGATGCGGCTGACGGGTAGCGAAGAGAGCCCGAGACCGTTGCGCTGCGGATGCAGGGTCCGTTTGAGTGCGTATGAAGTCGCGCGATGAAGGACTGTCGGGGGTAGTAGATATTGGTGGTACAGGGGCAGGCATGATGATGAGGTGGGCGAGGTCGCGAATCGTCGGGGATATGAGAGTAAGATTACGATGACTATCCAAAGTGACATATGTGAGCTTTCAGACCTCAAAATAAATAGGGAATTGGACGCACGCAAGATCAACTATGCCCTTAGCTTCATCGACCGCACTGTTAATCGTCTCCGCCCACAACTGATGCTCCTGCTGTTCTCGCGTCAACTCCTCCGGCGTAGGCACACTACGCGGCACCATTGGAACTCTCCAAGGATTCCCAAGCGGCATATCCACGGCTGGTGCAGCCCAGGGATCGTCGTAGTTCTCGATCTCGTTCTCAGAGAGGACTCGCGGAGGCTTCTTCTCGTACATGGGCGGCGGCCTTGTCGAATTTGTGGACCCAGCATATGGATGTTCAAATAACGGTTTCCAAGGCGGTCTGGCGTCGCTTTCAAAGTCAAAGTCATTGGACTCCAGGCCCGGAGATGATAAAGGTGAAGAGTCGGCAGGCAGATGAATGGGTGACCCAGCTGGAGAGGATCCTGCGGATGAAGACGGAGACATCAGCGCCCTTTCCTCTTTTGTAGGAAAATATCGAGGGAATTGTGGATATGACGAGGATGGAGGGGAAGACATAGCGATGGGACTATAGGATGGGGAAGAGGAGACGATGGTGGTAAGGGAAAGAGAAGCAAAGCTGAACGCGGCACACGACTTCGTTTACCGCATTGGCGCGCGCCGCGCGAATACAGGCAATTGGTCACGTGGTCGACGCGTCGCGTCGCGTTGATCCTAGTTGATGTGGCGATCAACCCCTGAGGCCGCCCCTGACTTTCAACCTCTAACAACTCGACTGCAGATTCTGAACGCGAGGTACATACACTAGACCTGCGCTCCGAATTTTTTTTTGCAAGTGGATGCGAGTATTTTTACCACCCATCGAGTCCCAATGAATCCTGAGACTGACATGGCGCGCCACATCAATTTACAGTATCGCCTCATGCACTCTTTCCGCTGCTTCACAATCTACTCTCCTTCCTCGACAGAGGAAATAAGTTGCTGTTTTTTAACGACTACAGTCATGGTTGATGGTTGACTTCCCTTTGCACAGACGCTGAAAATACAAAGGTCGCTGGTCTACTCACGACCATTCCGGTGACGAGCGATGCGCAATACAACGCCACTCTTTCCTGCTTCAATGTCTTCTACGTAGGTTGAATACCGCTCAGAATTAAAAAGTGGTATATGTCGGCCATGACGCTCTCTTGGTATTCTGCCATGACTCACCTCGCTGAGTGCGTCCCACCATCTCGCCTCTGTCCAAATATTCTTTCTTATCGGGTTTCTCCCAGCCATCAACACCGGCTTCGATGCCCCTCTTTTATGCACACTCCGAACCTACCATAGCTTTCAAGTCGCTCCCATCTTCCTCGGCTATCATCAAATCCGGAATGTTTCTCGCTGCCGGCTACACACTCTCGGCCTTATGAAGGCTTCAGTGATCGACGGTGTCCAACTTGCGACACGAAATAGCTTGCTCGTTCTCGTGTCGTACGGTCCTATATATAATAGTATTTCGTGGTGTGCGGATAAAGCGATCGGGTACACGAAGGTACACTCCTCCTCCTTCTCGCTTTTCAGTCCTATCGTTCTCTCCTTCGCTAGGTGTCTTGCGTCTGATTGGTTTCTCGATGGGCAGGCTCATGGGCATCGGGAACCTTAGCGTTCTCATTACTTTGTGAATCGCCAGCATGCCACACCGGATACAGTATGTCCCAGGCTTTCAGACTCTCTTCTTCTCCCCCGCACTCCCCAACTCGTTCCTCGACACGCATATGCGCCGTTTCATTCTTCAACTTCTGAATTCAGAACACTGACCACGATTCATCTCATGTTTTATATTCAGATATCACCCTCGCTCTCGCCGTCATGGGCATTGTCTGCACGATCTGGCTCAAGATTGTTTATACGCAGATCAACGGGCGAAGAGACGCGCTCACGCATGAGGTGATCTCGCAAGATTGAGACGTGAAGGAGGTGTCAGTCTCTTCTTTCCTCAGCCCGTGCTCTTTCACCTATATGCTTATCTGAGTACTCACACATCCTGTGAACAGAGCCGACGCAACGGATCGTTCACCACACTTCGAGGATATCGACTACAGTAGGGTTAGTTCACGGCTGGTCGAGTTTCCCTTCCTATACATCTTTCGATCTGCACCTAGGTTGTTTGTTATTGGATTTGTCGCTGTTAGCGAAGAAGCTCCAGCGAGCCTTTCCTCATACCACCCCTATACGATCCGTCATCTCAAGCAAAAACATGCAACGGCCACATCAGATCAAATGGACGTCTGTGTGCGAGTACCTGAAGAGCAGCCCATGAAACACCGAATAACCCATAAAAATAAGCATATCTCGTTCCTTCCTAATCCTTACGACATCGACGCTGGATCACCTCCATCTCCCTCCCCATGATCCTTTGGTCCTGACTCCCAAGCCCCCCAAAGCAACTGCGCGTTCTGATCATACGTCCCCGGCGTCTGCGGCGCCATACTTCCCTGGTCCATCAACACTCCCAACAAAGCGGACAGGTCGTCGCCTAAAAAGTCGTACCCCGAGAACGGAGCAGTAGTATCAAACGATGATAGATCGAAATCGAAGACTGTGGGAGGTGGCATGGATAACGAGACTGCGGCCGGCGGTGGGGACGTTGATGGAGCGATGAGAGGGCTGGATGGTGTGAGGGGAGAGGTTCGGAGGTCGGAGATGGGGTGGGATGTGGATAGTACGTTGTTGAGAAATGACAGGTTTGAGGAGGAAGGGCCAGGACCTAAGATGTTTGGGTGGCTCTCGGTCATAGTTTCGGCTGGATGGTCAACCCATATGCGTGGTTTATGAGGCCGAGGGTCGCTGTCCGACTTGCGTTTGACCGAACTCCGCTGAACCTGTTGTTTTGGAGGCAGGTAATCATTGCTGGCGCTATTGCAGTGTCAATCCATAGTCGCTGCGGAATTCGAGGAGAAAACTCACCTCGCGACTTGTTCCTCAGACAAGCTTGGAGGAGTAATTTCGCCCCGTTTGGCTTTGACAACCCTCAGGAGATCAGATACGATGTCTCTACACCGCTTCGCGCCAGGCCAGATATCTTGCATGTCCTCGAGCAAGGTTCGACACTTCTCAGCATCCGTGATAATGGCGGCGACTAGCTCTGCATCTGTGACGTGAGGTATACACCTCAGCAAAATAACACCTGAGATACATATCTGCTGCACGGCGTAGGCGAGATGATGGGACGTCGGTAATGTCTAATAGCCTCGATGTTAGGGGTAACGCCAGCAGCGGTAGAGTATGTTACTTACGCTCTTGACCATGTCTCCAATACGGATGCAACTTTTCGCAGCGTTCACGCATCGCAGCAGAGAAGGCATGTTCATACGCCCAGACGTATCTCGAGGATTAGAGATAAACGGTCGATCTAAAACGGATAAACACACTCAGCGTGACGATATCAGAAGTGGAGGAAACATTGAACGGAACTCACGCAAATTAATTGTTGCCGAATAATACATGAAGAAAGCAATCAGACACAGTGTGAGCATTTTCGGGTCATCTACATTGTTCGCCGCGAACTTGATGTTAGGTGGAAGGGATTCCACCCAGTCCTCCAAGAGGCCGTCGAGACTTTGCAGGAGCTCCGGAACTTGTCTACCTGTGGCATCAATCTCAGCGAGAAGCTTGAGCGAGTGCGCTGTCCTGACGATCTTGCCAGCCACGACGTAGATCTTCAGTAGTCTGTAGCAAACCAGTATCAACTCCCGAGACCCAAGCTCAAGTAGATCATTACCGCGGAATGTGAACGTACGCAACAAAGCCACACATATATGACGTTTCGCTAGTTGCGATCACGCCTTCGCAATACTTCTCGACATCTTCGTCATCTACTTCAGCGGCTATCATGGAGGCACCATTGAGAAGATGTGTCAATAGCATTGAACGCAACAGATAACTCACGGTACTCGACATCGCTGTCGTCATCATATGTACCGGCCGGTCGTCCGAGAGCTATTGAAAGAACTCTTTACAGCAATAAATGAACAGCCGTGCAGGGAATCGTCAGAGTGGACTTACCTGTCCAGACCATAGACGCACCACCATATCCGTCGACGAATTTCCTTCTCCAGTCCAGACAGCGACAGTCGTCGAGGCGAGCGCTACATAGGAACATCATGGACGCAGAACCAAGGTAACATCGTTGTCGTACATACATGAAGACCAAGGTCCTGTGCTGCACGGATACTGGTATATATAAGTAGTCGGGACGACCAGAAGAGATAAGTAAACGTACGCTTGACCGGCTAGTACCCAACTCTGTGATAATGCTGGGAAGAGTGTGAGCGTACGCCTTACGAGACACAGGAAGGTGTATGGATATAGGACGCACTATTCCACCCAGCACAGCATATCGCCAACAGCGCCAGTCCTTGAACACTATAGAATAACCTGTGAGGCAATGTAATAAGCGAAGCAGAAACACACTTACTTCTCTGGACACATCGATCTGCTTCCCATCCAGAACAAAACCATGCTACGTTCATAAAATCTTCCTATACAGTCAGACCGCCTATACGTAGCGAAGAGCTGACAAGATGCTCACTCAAGCCCAGCGTATTCAGAAGGAGCAGTCCATTTCCAGCCAGTTTCCTGCTCCGTACTTGGCTTGGCAGATACCTTCGAGTTCAGGCTTTCTGCGCAAGCAAAGACCGCAAACAGCGATGACAGAAACGCATGATCTGATGATGGTTTCCCTGCATGCAAACTGTGCATGACATCTACGTACTTCTTCACGAACCTAGATGTTAATGTCAGCATCCAAGTTGCGTAGTGCATGGCCCTGCGAAGTCTACTTACGATTGCTTGTGTAGAATGGGGAAGGTGTGGTGAATATCAGAAAAGTACTTTTCGATCTTTCATTGAATAGGAGATTAGCACAAATACACGAGCGCGGAGCGCTTGCAACTTGCCAGCTTGTCTGCAACGTCGGCGGGCGGATAGATGGTCTCCTCCGGCCGTGGTCTACTCGATGAGGTATGAGCCACACACAAAGGTATCGAAATCGAGTGACGCTTACAGGACATCGAAGCGCCTGAAGTGCATGTTCGGTCGAAAGAACGGAAGATCGCTGGTATTCAAACCGAAGATTAAATCAGTGTTGGGTAACTTTATGTATTGCAGAGATCCATACAGGTTTTCTGCGCTTTTTCCGACCTTGTCAGATGCAGCGGAGTCGGGAGAGCCATTCGGAGATGACGGCGTCTGAAGAGACTGAAGAGCCTCCACCAGTACCAGAGACGACGCTCCTCCGATGAATCTAGTTGAGACTCAGTAACAGACATCTGGATATTTCGATATCTACAGATACCTCAAGTTTCCTAGTGAGTCCTTTGCGAGATGAGCGAGACGATCCGATATACGTTCTCGCTCATGCTCTGGTTCATCTTGAGAGGAACGCGTCCCGGCAGATATGGACGATATCAGGGGTGATGACGCATGTCTGGGTTCTTCCACTCGCTGAGGTTCAGAGATTGCGACGGGCTGATCTACGATAGCTTGGATGGCGGTAGATGGTTTGTACAATGGCGGTAGTATTCCGTTGCCTGAAAATGACGACTTCTTCGGTCCCTCTGGAAGAGATTGTGGCACCAGAAGATCTAAGTTATCCGGTAGGGACGATCTGAATCTGGATTTCATAGGTGAGCCGCGATGATCACGTCGTCACGGAAGGCAAAAGCCTACGGTAATCCATCATCGGTATTCTTTGCCCATTGGTCGAAAGCTTTGGCCATTGGGGTGAAGAGTTGTTCCAGGTGATGCAAACGGGTCTCCAAATTCGAGGTAAGCCTGGAAGATGGTGCAAGTTCGGACGTGACACCGTGTACGATCATCTGCGCGCCGTGCTATGCACTTACTGACGACTTCCGGACGCATTGTCGTTCGTTTCTTTGACTAAAGTGTGATCATCCGTTATTAACTCCTCCACCACGATCCAAGAGAGAACTTACAGCTACACTGCTTGCCACTGGTCATGCAGAAAGCACACGGATCCTGTAATACGTCAGACTCATTAACATTATAGATGCTTACCGCTGTCACGTATGGCTTACCTGCCCATCACACTTGATCTACAAATCGACACTTGTTCAGAAGGTGATGAGACGCTCGTGAGGGGCGGACCTACCTTTCTCTTCCTGCAGATCTCGCATGCACGCCAGGTCCTAGTCCTTGGCTTTGGCCCTGGTGCTTGAACCGGGTGAAGTGCCTCCTGGCTGGAAGACGCCTGTTGATTCATGTAAGACCTACTGTTGTATGCGTGCTCGTTCAGTAGGCTCGTTCGTGTTCAGGGATGAAGATAGGCAGCTAACGGAAGCCCGTGGCTTGCCCGTGGCGATATCGAGTGTTACAAATTGAACCGGGCCGTCGCCGCTCGCCACATCATTTTCCGCCACACGGAAACAGCCTGAACAGTGAAGAGATAGAGTTAGAGGGACCAAGAGTCGAGAAGTGTGGGCGGGCTCGTCTTCCTCAAAGCTACAATAGAGGTCTGAGCGACCAAGGAGAATGGGCACAGATCACACGTGTAGTATGTATATATAGGAAAATATCAAAATATGGGGACCCCATGAAGTATACGTACTTATATTGAAAAGGGCCAACGGTGTACCGTTTGAGGCACTTCATACAAGTAACGAAAAGCGGCGGGTCCTAGTCCTGTCGTCCGTGTGCTGCAGAAGGCGTGAGCGCGGAAGAGGGCGCGGTCGATAGCAGAGGACAGTGGCCCGACCACGCACTACAAGAGTAAGACCAACAAACAACAGCTCATCTTCACTACCAATCAACGTTTATCTCCAAAGACCCAACTGAAATCGCCCTGCCCCCTCCGTTTAGGTTCTTCGCCAGTGTCATGGGCGCCTTCAGCGTCCAGACTGCTTCTTTTACGCTTCCTATCCCTGTCATCCTTGAGAACCGAGACATTTTGTGCAAGCGTCTCGGGAAGAGGCATCCACGAGGTAGCCGAGGCATGGAGTGCGCTACTTAGCGCTGAGTCGTAACCGACCCTGTGGATACCGAAACAGTGTACTTCGAGTACACCGGAGTCGAAAATGTTGTGGATGAATTTTCGAAGCGTCCGTGGCTGCGTATCCAGTGATCCGAATATCTGCTCGCGAAGGTATGGGCGTATATGCTGAGGGGTACGATGTAAGCATTGCACGTAGCAACAATATATCTGTTTCACCTTTGGCATTGCACTCGAGACATATTTCAGAGGCATCACGGAAAAAAACATACACTTGTATCGGCCTGCGTAGTACCACCTATATTCCTGGTTATCATTTAAGACCTCAAATACTAGATCGAAGACATCCCCTGTTTTGAAAGGAACATGACAATTAAACCGTCTGACGGGCTCGGGAGTGATAGTTTGGTGTGGGGAGATGAGGAGCGCGCTTGAAATGTCTTGCGGAGCCTTAAGTACGATGCCATGGCGAGCAGCCGTGTATATCTGGCTTGTGCACCTGTCAAAGAGCTTCGTTAGGACCGGGGTCTACTTATTGATGTTGGGTGAGAGTGCAGTACAGAGCTTCAGGCAGCTGAGAAGTAATGGATTGAATGAGTGCAGAGCGCGTTCGCATACTCGAGAATGGACAAACCTTTGGTCGGACACGAGCCCAATCCACTGAGAGAGGCTTTAACTCGTGTACCGTAGGATGCGATATAGGGAAGCAATTTTCCTTTTTCAGAAAGGCCATTGGATCATGCAACCTTCTCACTAGAAGACTAGGGTCAGGGAAGCCATCAGAGAAAGAGGTGGAGTTGGAGAAAAAGTACCCGGTATAGTTGGCGATCTCAATCTATTAATCTCCCTTTCCCGTGCTGAAAGCAGGGTCTGCAGATGTTCCGATTTATGCCGCTCAAGAACAAGATCGCTCTGGGCTTGTCAGGAATCGTGAGCGACAATATTAGGACTTGCTCGCGAGCAGAGTCGTGTGACGTCTTACTTCGTCACGCTTTGCGTTCTCAGTGCCTAAATCCTTCTCATAGGACTCCGGGCGACTCTCCTGTGATTGGAAATCCCGCGAAATGAGCTATCTGCGGTTTGACGAGATCATATTGAGCGCCTACCCGATCACCTTGGTTCGCCTGTGAGTCGTCTTCGGTATGCGTTCTCTCGTACAAGTCAGTCAAACGCTGACAAGATGATTGCCCGTGATAGACATTATGAGAATTGTTGATACAATTGTGACTGTCATAAACCAATACGAAAACACGGACCTTGATCTCGTCTTTCCTGAACTTGAGCTTCTCCTTGGCCTTGACGTTTTCGGATTGAAGCTCCGCGATCTTCTGCTCCTAAAGGAAATAAGAACATATCAGTTGCACTGCATTCCACCGAACTAGGCAGTACCCAATATGTATATGTCTGAGAACTATACCTGGTCTTGCAGCGTTTGCACAAGTTCCTACGATCGCGGCATCGTCAACGATCAGTATATCACGCCTGCGAGAAATGATCAACAATACCTCGTGGTCTCTGTAGACAAAGCCGAAGTTCATGGACGGCAATTCTTCAGTTTTCATTCCCATAAGACTTTCCAACCGCTCCTCAAGTGCAGCTTTATCTGCTTCGAGCGTACGAACTTGAGCCGCAAGAGTTAGGTTCTCCTACGATGAGTAGATCAGATTGTTCCTTCGTCAGAGGTAAACCTTCACGACATCAAGATCGCCGCGCAGCACGGTCAAGATTCCGAGATGAGCTTACGTTCCGAACGTGTTTAGACTTGTTGATCATTCTTTCGAGAAGAGGCCCCGCACTTTCACGCGGCATCCGGAGGATGTCGTCTATCGAGAGCTCCATGATGGCTATCAAAGGTCGAGAGGGGTATACAGGGCTCAAATCTGCAATTTCAATCAGACTGGAAGAAGAGCTAGTTCAGAGACCAGTACGAAGGATGGGTTGCAGACGGATGTGCTGACGGCGAGGGGATCGACCGCTGACGGTGACGAGGGACCCAGTGTTGTCGGCCCGCTCAGCGATAGAACACCCAGGCAGTAGAATGAAGATAAAGAATGTAACAGAAACTCTCTGTGTTCAACAAGGGCTATCGAACAACGAAGACGCGGTGAACGGTCAAGGAACGACGCGTTTTTTGCAGATTTCGTGGCGATGACGACAACGACGACCAAACGAAGCCAAACACGGGCCACAATCATGTGGCGCTACATCATGAATCGAGCAAGTGCAGACTATATACTTTTGGATGAAGCGATGCTAATGTGAGAACAAATGTTTGGAAGCGACAAAGAGACAACAGGACCAACGGAAGAAGCATGCTTCGAGACCTTTACCACTCGAAAGGTGCCCCGGCACATAACCCAAACATAACCTTAGTAACTACTCAATTCAGGGCACCAGAAACGTCACCAGAGAGGAGATGTAAACAGATGCTAGATGCTAACACCAAGGAACTGGAGGAAGACACGTGCATGTGCGAAGATAGTCGATACGGTAGTCATGGCCAACTGTAGTGGCCACTACCGTCACCTCGGGATATCCAGGGGCAGGTGCCACAGGAGCCGGAGTGGGCGTCGCTCGCATGAACTTGGACTTGTTCTTCCCTGAATCAGGAAAGTCACGAAGGTCAGAAAATATTTTACTAGATGAAAAGAACGAAGTGACCTCACTCTTACGCTTCTTGTCCTTAGGGAGCTCATTAGCGAGGATCTCGTTCCTCCGCTTCGATATGAGCAGTAACCGGTCGCGGGCCTGTTGTTCACGAAGGATGTGCGGACGAGTTCGTGCAGGGGCGACCTCAGAGGTATTTCTTTACAGGTGCATCAGTCTCGGAACAGGCACGAAAGAGTAAGTAAACGATTGTAAAGCTAACCCACCTGGATAGTTTCTCCGACGACGCCGACGACCCTGCCTCCCACGTATCCTTCGCGATCTTGAACAACGGCTCGAACGTCTCGAGTGCCCAGTCGTTCGCCGCCGCGTGACCGGTTTCCAAATGGCAAGACCGATACAACAGTCTGAACGCATCAACCGCTGCATTTTTGCCGAGACATACTGGTTCACCTGAACGAGGCCGTGAAAAAGGACTCACACATTTGAAATTGGTATTCAGCAAACTTGAGAGGGACGTACCATCGTCTTCGGATGACATGTTTCCTATCAACGCGTCCATGATAGCCGTCATGACGGCCTCGCAGTTAACTACGGAAAGTAGTAACTTAAGACCACGGAACCGGTCTGAGTGAGAAAGACAAGTCAAAGGAGGAAGAGCTGTCGTTGCGTACATTGTGGAGTTCAGCATTTCTCTGGGGGAAGGTGTGGCGAAGAACCCCGAGGAGGGCAGTTTTCAGCATACTCGCTCCCTCTTGGACATCACCGGTGATTCCAAGGTCCTGTTGCTCGATGTAATAGTCTGGATCCGCGTGATGCTTCCGGGCGGAGACGTTGACGACAATATTGGACCAAGATTTCTCCCTGAGGTGAGGAAGTTGGATGGGAAAAGTGGGAACACGTATGACGCGGCATAGTGTGGCACGGACGTGCCGATATTTCTGCTCCTTGACGGACGCAGCCATGGGGACTCGGCGAGAAGGGAGTGGACGCGATACGGGTGGAACTGAACGAGTCATGTCGACTGAACGAATCGACGATGGGGAAATATCGATGAGCTGCATATCAGCTTATAAGAGAGCCAGAACGGCTCCGGCGACTCGAAATTCGATGAACTTACCTCTTTGCATACGACCGACGATCTTCGAGCCCCATCCATCGCTCTTGGCAGAAACCGCTCGTGATCGCCGCCTCTCTGATCCGTCTTGTGAGGCTGAAACGCCAGTCCGTGAACTCGACGGCTTTCACTAGCGCCTCTCGTAAGGATATCTCTGCACGGATAGGGTGGTTGGTTGAGTCTCTGGTGAGGTCGCCGGTACACTTGGTATCCCAGCGGGCGCAGCAATGAGGTACGACGGAGATGCATTCAATTAGATTCAGTGGAACCGTCCAATCACGATTGTACGAGCACCGCTACCCGTGCGCATGTCCTGGCTAGGTTCATAAACAGGGCAGATCCACATCAGGAAAGACCGACGGGATCGCTGTAGAAGCCTTGGGATTCAGATAAATTGAATAACGGGGCGAGCGCGTGAGTACTAGGCATGTCGGTAGGAAGCTTCAGGAGAGAAGGGCGAAGATATACCGGTGAGGACTGGAGGAGAACAAGGACAGCTCCATAAGCGAAGCGCGCCAAAAATCCAATTTCCATATTGAAGCGCCGATAGCGTGACGCCACACCCGCCACACTCTAAGCTTCCCGTCTCGTCCTTGTCTCGTTCAATTGCTCGTCGGTGAACGTGATATTCAACAATGTACTTATAATACTTAGATACTCAGCAAAGCCAAAACACGACAGCCAGGACAAATTTGCCCTTCCCTACCTGAGTCTTCTTTCATCCCTCCATCTCCGCTTTTCCTCCAATCTATACGACCCGCTCGTTACCACACCCGTCAAGCCTTCCCCATCATCCGATACTCCCATATCTACACTCCGGGGAGATGCTCAATATAAGCACCGAAGAGATAGTCAAGTAGAAAGTACGAACCACGACACAGTCTTCCACAATATTCGATCCAGAGCGCACCGAGCCATTGTCCCATCTTTGCGCTCGCTACACATTCAAAAAAATCGGAAATGGAGGATAGCCACCACATGAATGAAACAGGAATATGAGTCGCAGAACAGAAGGAAAGAGGAAAGGGTACTAACCAGGTCCGAATAGTCGTCTGCTCCAAACGGTATGCATGCTTATCTCCTTGTTGGCTATCTCGGGCGAGGGTAGCGGGCTAGGGAGAAGATAGTAGAAGTAGTCTGCAATCCTGTAGGAGTATTGTTAGCGAATATATTATGTCAAAAGAGGGGGGACATAAGAATTGTGAAAGGAAAGAGAGAGGACGATGTACCAGTGTGCTTGAACGAGGGACAATACATGGTTTGCTTTACACGCTGGTACACCTACACTCACGCGTCAGCCCTCATCGACCAACTGCGTCTAATCATAGAACTTGTCGATGAGAGAAGAGACGTACCAGCCACAACGATATCTCTTGCCTCTAAATGTGTCGTCGGCACCATGAGCCTATAGAGCCTGTAAGGCGCTACTTCTTCTCTCTCCTTACTCTCATTCCCGTTCGCAATCACGTTGAGTGTGACATTACCCTTCCCAGAATCCCTCGCGGCATACCCCGGCCTCTTCCAGACCTCCGGTATCTCCCTTAGCGTCCTCTGGTCTCTCAACAACGACTTCAAACTCTCGTCGTCCAACTTCGCGAATATCTTCTCCCGTTCCGGCAGCCCATTCGTATCATCGTGGCCGGGATCCGAGTCGGAATCGACGTCGACATGAAAAGCAAACGGCAACCCAAGCTCCTCGGCCAACGAACGCGAAAGAAACGGATACGATCCTGTGCGCCAGCCAGTCCCGAAGATGACGATATCAGCAGCTAGAGTTAGTGGTTCGGGTTTAGTGGGGCGGTCGATAGTGAGAGTATACTTGGATAGTGATGCCGAGGGCGTAGTGGAAGGAAGGGTCGAGAGTTGGGCCATGTCAACAACTGTTCCTTTAATGAGCTTGATTTTGCCGGATTGGACGAGCTCGCGGAAAGACGCTGTTCCCGGGAAACGCGTCCTGAAATAATGTGCATCACACCGTATCAGATCAAATAAGACAAGTAAGCAAAGTGGAGACCTACGATTCACTCCACATCAAATCAACATTCGGCCTCATGTCTCTCATCTTACTCCCTTCCCGCAACCACTCACCCCAGTTCTCGAATACTATCGTAGTCGCCGCAAGTGTTCTCCTGAGTATGAAACCTCCGAGGAAGGTGGAGTGGAGGACGTATCGGAAGAGAGAGGCGATAGGGCCACCGGTGTAGTAGGACGCCGGGTTCGAGAACAGGAATGAGAACCAAGAGGCGGTTGATGAGGTGTGAACGGGGTCGGGGAAGTAGGGGTTTGTCGAGGTTTTGAGCTGTGGGATCATGAATGTTGAAAGTAGAGAAGGAAGGAAGAAGGAAGTGGAGACGAACGCGTGTGCCAACTGTACCGGCCGCGTCTGCTGGCTTTCCCGTCTTCGGATGTTTAGCAGTCGGCGGGGCGAGGTACGGGGGATTTCGCAGAACGAGCGTGACGTCATGACCATGCTACACGAACAGAAAAAGTACCCTTTCGTCAACGCGCGGGTCCTCACCACGCCATATGCACGAACGAAGAGGAACACTCACTAACGCTAGCCTCTCCGACGTGTCTAGTGCACTCTTACTCCCCCCGACAACCACGATCGTCCTCTTCTTCCCCATAACTGCTCTCTGAATACCCGGCTCACTCAGGTGTGAGGTATGTATCGCGAACGGGGCATCCTCGTCTAACTTGAAGGTCTCTTGTGCGATTGTGGCGCGTGGCGGAAGTACGAACGGAATCGCGAAGGATGGGACGACGGGATCGGAGAAGCAACCGGTAGCGATAATGAGTTTATCGTAGTGTTCAGTCGACGCCTCGGAGGTGAAATTCGGAGTAGATGGCGGTGGGAGTGTGGTGGAGGTGACATCCCATCGTGAGCCAGGGCCGGCAGGTTGGGCAACGGTGGTAACGTCGCGAAGGTAGTGTATTTCGGCGCCAAGAGCTGTTATCTGTCGAGCTGCGTGCTCCATGACGTAGATCATGCCTTTACCCTGCGTCGTTGTACCACAATAAGGGTATATTAGACCACGCGAGGAGGATAGATGTACGAACGGTTGCACCTACGAAATGAGGTTAGACGACGATTGATAGAGAGAAGGTGGAATATGGCGTACGAAACCCGCCAGGACCTGCACGAAGAGAGGGATCTTCACGCAACACGGCTTCGGCGACCCCGTCGTCATCAAGCACCATTTGCGTCCAGGAGTTGTTAGTGATGAGACCGTCGTACGCACTACCAGATTCCACTTCAAGGATGGCTTCGACTCATCATTCAAAGAAACCGCTCACGAAGCAGAGGACCAAGTACCGCCTGGACCCGGATTCCTGTCGTACAACACAACTTTGGCGTCCCTCCCGACGCGTCTCGCGGTTTTGAGGATATGCAAAGCCGAGGAAAGCCCAGCGATCCCAGCTCCTACGATGGCCACTGAAAAGCCTTCAGTCCCAGAAACATCCATGTCAGAGTTCAAGCACGAACTCCCTTCCTGCAAACCAACCAAGTGAGTCTGCGTGTCATGTGTGAGCAAAAGCAACATGTCTCTCGCTTAGAGCGGCCTTGACCTAGCCCCTGACGTTATGCGCCCGGCACCCCTCGTGGATCAATGAGATAATTCTGCCTACCGTATCGGGAGATCCGAGTGCAGCCCTACCGTAGTTGCGCCAGCGTCGCAGGTTGTCGCAGACGAGGAGTTTTGCGGGGACCAAGTGAGGCCGACGCTCTACGCCCGCTCTTTTCCCCGAGCCAATGGTTCACAAAACAATTCAGTCCTCAAACCATTACGGAAAAAGACCCATAGGCCAAAAATCTTTTCGGCGGCCGCAGAAGTGAACGGTACCAGAAGAAGCGATCTGGCCAACGGCGTTCAACGTTATTTCTCGTCAGAGCAAAATTGCACGGCGATAGTGCTGCCTGTCGATCCTCCAACGGAGTCGCCGGTAGTGTTTATGGGCTGTGCGAAACAGCGTTCGTAGCAACGAGGCATGACGGAAACCCGTTCACTTAGCCGCATTGATCTCGTCCATCAACGAATATACGAGCAACGCGACCGCGTCTTTACACTCGGCCTAGGTAGACGGAGCTGAACTCATCGCAACGAAACCAGGGAGGAAATGCCGACGGAGTCGGTGAACGAGGCACAGAGGCTTTTCACCCTGGAGAGTTGTACAAGCAGCGAGCGTCTGACTACACCGTGCTCCAGGATGAAAGAGCGATGAATCAAAATAAACCCGACGCTGAAGGTGAGAACAACGACGAACCCAAAAGCACGCTGCACCAGGCTGCACCCCAAGAATATCGATTCCCACTGTGCGTTGGCGGCAGTTGCCGATCCGGCAACGCAACGCCACATTCGCCACATACTGACCCGTTCACATTTCCGCTCCCGTTGTTCAATTATTCGTCGGACAGTATTCCCAAATCAAAATGAGAAGAAACAAAGTCAGCTCGCGTTGATCCTTTCCTATCAACGTCTCCTCTCATCCCTCAACCTCCTCTTCTCCTCCAGTCTATACGACCCGCTCGTCACCACGCCCGTCAAACCTTGTCCATCGTCCGGTACTCCCATATCTACATTCCACCAATAGGATCAGTATGAGAACGAAAGAGACGGAGAATGAGAATGTACGAACCACGACATAGTCTCCCGCAATGTTCTATCCAGAGCGCGCCGAGCCATTGTCCCAGCTTTCCGTTCGCTAAACATTCAAAGTCCCGAAAAGATTAGTTAGCCATGGAGGAGAGAGGGAAAGAAGATGCTTACCTGGTCCGAAGAGCCGTCTGCTCCAGACGGCATGCATACTTATCTCCTTATTCGCCATCTCGGGCGAAGGAAGTGGAGTTGGGAGGAGTGAGAAGAAGTAGTCTGCGATCCTATTAGAATGCCGTTAGTACATATACTACGAAGGATATGGGTGTGGCAGAAGTGAGAAAGCGACAGGACGACGTACCAGTGCGCCTGAACGAGGAACAACACGTGGTTCGCTTTGCACGTCGGTACGCCTAAACTCGTACCAGTCCTCGTCAATTAACGACATCAAAAAAGCACCAGGGATGGAAGGGAAGAAAACATACCAGCCACAACGACGTCCCTCGGCTCCAAATGGCTCGTCGGCACCATAAGTCTATAAAGCCTATACGGCGCCACCTCTTCTCTCACCTTCCCCTTCCCGTTCGCAATCCCATTCACCTGAACCGACACCGCGACGTTATCCTTCCCAGCCTCTCTCGCAGCATACCCCGGCCTCTGCCAAACCTCCGGTATCTCCCTCAACGTCCTCTGGTCCCTCAACAGCGCCTTCAAGCTCTCATCGTCCAGCTTCGCGAAAGTCTTCTCTCGTTCCGGTAACCCATCGGAGTCGATGTCAAGTTGATAAGTAAACGGTAGTCCGAGTTCCTCGACCAACGAAGGAGACAGAAATGGGTACGAGCCCGTGCGCCAGCCTGTGCCGAAAATGACGATATCGGCGGTGAGACTGAGTGGCTCAGGTTTGGTGGAGTCGATGGTGAGCGTGTACGGCGATGCGGATGTAGATGAAGTGGTGGAAGAGGAGGTTGAGGTTTGCGTCATGTCGATAACTGTTCCCTTGACGAGTTTGAGTTTGCCCGATTGGACGAGTGCGGGAAAGGATGCTGGGCCGGGGAAGAGCGATCTATACGTACGTACGCCACACCGCATTGCGCCACACGAAAATCCAAACCAGTGAATTAGCCTCAGAAACCCGAACACAGCTGCAAGACGACGACAGACGAAGAGAAGAGAAAACAAAACTCACGATTCGCTCCACATCAAATCAACTCTCGGCTTCATATCAGCCATCTTACTCTCCTCCACCGTCCATCCACCCCAACTCTCGAAAACTTTTGTAGCCGCGTTGATCAGTCGTTTGTGGATAAAACTTCCGAGGAAGGTTGAATGGACAACGTAGCGAAAGAGAGATGAGATGGGGCCGCCGGTGTAGTACGATGATGGGTTCGAGAATCGGAACGAGAACCAAGAAGAGGTAGAGGCGTGGACGGGGTCGGGAAAGTATGGGATCGTTGAGGTTTTGAGCTGTTGGGTTGTGGATATCGGTGAAAATAAAACATCTAAAAGAGGGTAGATACATACGCGTGTACCGACAGCACCAGCCGCGTCCGCTGGTTCGCCCGTCTTGGGATGCTTAGCAGCCGGTGGGGCGAGGTATGGAGGATTCCGGAGAACGAGCGTGACGTCGTAGTCATGCTAAATGACCAGAGCAAAGGCACCGACGTTGATTGAATGGTTCCATACACAGCGAATGGTATGGGAAAAAGGGAAGACTCACCAATGCCAACCTCTCCGACGCGTCCAACGCGCTCTTACTCGCTCCAACAACGATAACCTTCCTCTTCTTCCCCATCAACGCTCTTTGGACAACCGGCTCACTCAGATGGGACGTATGTATCGCGAACGGCGTATCATCGTCGAACTCGAAAGCTTCCTGGGCAAGTGTTGCGCGCGGTGGAAGTAAGAACGGTCGTGCGAAGGAGGGGACAGCGGCATCGGAGAAGGATCCGGTAGCGATTATGAGTTTGTCGTAGTGATCTGTAGATGTATCCGATTTGAAGGCTGGGGTAGATGAAGTGTTGGGAGTAGATGGGGATGGGAGTGTGGCAGCGGTGATGTCCCAGCCTGAACCAGGGCCGGATGGTTGCGTAGCGGAGGTGATGTTGCAGAGCGTGCGTAGTTCGGCGCCGAGAGATGTTACTTGTCGAGCAGCGTGCTCCATAACATGGATCATGCCTTCTCCCTGTGCGATACATTAGACTTATGAAAGACAAGTTAACATAGTATGCACGAACGGTTGCCCCTGTATGAAATGAGGTTAGAAGGCGATCGTAGTGAGATGAGAGGACGTGGCGTACGAAAACCACCCGGCCCAGCACCGAGAGAGGGATCTCCACGAAACATGGCCTCTGCTGCTCCGTCATCGTCGAGCAGCATCTGCGTCCAGGAATTATTCGTGATGAGGCCATCGTACACCCTACAAATCTACGTATCAATATTCACTTCAAATCGTCGTTTAAAGAAACAACGCACGAAGAAGAAGACCAAGTACCACCCGGAGTCGGATTCCTATCATACAAGACGATCCTGACTTCTTTCCCGACGCGTCTGGCTGTCCTCAGGATGTTGAAGGCCGAAGCAAGACCAGAGATCCCAGCACCTACGATGGCCACCGAAAAGCCATCTGTTTCGGACATATCCAGAGTGTTCGAGTTCGAACATCAAGTCTCCTCCCCAGGCCAACCGAGTATATCTGCATTTTAGGAGTAGCAGCAGCATGTTCGATAACTCCTATCGCGGTTGCACGACCCAAGCGACGCAGGCAAGCAACAGTGAGACGAGCGTTCGGTTCAAAGAGAGAACTCACGGAGGCGGACGGCTTGACGGACGGATCCTTCCCGACGGGGATTTGCCGGAGCTCTTCCCGTCTATCCAGAAGGAGGTTGTTTGTGGCCCGACCACGCCCTCAGCTTGCTGCGAAATTCCCAGCGCAAGACCGTCTACGGTGAGTGAGAGCAGAGAAGGGTAGACTACTTAGCGCGACCACTTATCTCCACTTCTTGTTGCTACTTTTTCCATTTTACTCGCGATGCCAGACGGTTCAGCAACTTCTTACGATGCGCCTCTTTGGCCGAGTGAGAACGCGAGAGGATACAAGATCCCAGAACAGGTCTTTGGAACGGTGAGAGCTTTTCTATTTATGTCGAAGGAATCGATGCTGACAGAGTTCTCAGTTGAAACCACTGAAAGTCATCGCTATAGGTGCTGGCATCTCTGGCATCTCTCTCGCTCACGATGTCCAGGAAAGAGGCCAAGGTATCGACCTCACGATCTACGAGATGGGCAACGACGTCGGTGGGACGTGGTTCTGGAACAAGTATCCTGGCTGTCGGTGTGATGTTCCGTCTGTGAACTACCAGATGTGCGTCAAATTCAGTCTTTCCTGTTCGTTCTTACTCTGACGGATGGCGATGTGGTATAGGTCATGGTCACCGAACCCGGACTGGCCAGAGTTCTATGCGGAGGCGGATGAGATACACAAGTACTACAGGGGCCTCGCGGAAAAGTGCGTATCTTTCTCGCTCTTTTCTTCCATCTCGGTCGTCTAAAATGTTGCGGAAGGTTCGATCTCCTGAAGTACATCCACCTTGAACACGAAGTCATCCGAGCCGAATGGGACGGTCAAGCTCACAGGTGGCGGTTACAAGTGCGACGAGCAGATCAGACGGTATTCGAAGACGATTGCGACGTCTTTATCAATGCTGGAGGTACGGTCCTTCTTCTTGATCCGTGGTCAAGTGCGCGGAGTAACGGTAGACTAGGCGTTTTGAACGCGTGGAAGTGGCCCGATATCAAAGGTCTGCACGACTTCAAGGGCACACTATGCCACACCGCCCGTTGGCCGAAAGATTTAGACCACAAAGGTACGTTCTCTTTATTTTGTTCTACACTCTTCGTCCTCGCGTTCTGACGCTTTATGGTATACAGGAAAGACAGTCGCCGTCGTCGGCTCAGGCTCCTCCGGCATCCAACTCCTTGCCACCATCCAGCCCGAAGTCAAGCAGATTTACCACTGGATTCGCAGCCCGACGTGGATCACGAGTGCGTTCGCGCAGAAGTATGCTGGACCTGGTGGGAAGAACTTCCAATGTACGTCGCAACATGCCTCTTCCTTCGATGTTCGACGATGTCCGCATTTTCTCGCCACAATCGTTCCTGCTATCGTACAAATTCTCATGGCCGATTGCTATGATACCTGTTCATAGATACCGACGAGCAAAAGAAATTATTCGCGGAGGACCCGAAACATTCGCTCAAGTATCGCAAGATGATCGAGTCGGAGCTCAACCAGCGGTTTAAGTTCATTGTACAGGGCACAGCGGAGCAAAAGGCTGCTCTCGAGGTGCGTCCCGATCTCTCTTATCTGTCTTTACGTTTGGTCGTGACTGCCTGACTGATACATATGGATGGCTAGTTTGCGAATGCGGACATGCGACGAAGGCTAGGAGGAGACCAGCGTCTCATCGACGCCATCGTTCCCACCAAATTTGTCGTCGGATGGTACGTCAACTCTCTCTGCTCCCTTTCCCATACTCCAACTAACTACCTCCCCAGCCGTCGTCCAACCCCCGGAAACGGCTACCTCGAAGCCCTCCTCCAACCGAACGTCCACACCTTCACAAACGGCATGCTCCAACGCGTCACGCCCAAAGGCTTCATCGACTCCGAAGGAATCGAACACGAATGTGATATCTTCGTCTGCGCGACCGGGTTTGATACGAGTTTTAGGCCACGGTTTCCGGTTGTGGTGGATGGGGTGAATGTGCAGGAGAGGTGGAGGGAGTATCCTGTTGATGCGGTGAGTTTTTTGTTTGTTTGTGGTTCGATATGAATATGCAAAGAAAGAGAGGGAGATGCTGATGAGGTGCTTGGTTCGGTTGTAGTATATGAGTATCGCGATCAAGGGCGTCCCGAATGTGAGTTTTATCGGTGAAGTCGGGTCATTCTACGATGGGATGTACTGACCTTTTCATTCGCAGTACTTCATGTATTACGGACCTCATGGACCAACGGGTCACGGATCCGGCGCTCCAATGATCGAAGCCTGTAAGCACTTCGCTCCTTTGTACCTTCGCTCAACTCCATCGACAAATTCTCTCCTCTTATACCTGTTCTAATTGCTCACGCACTTGCGTTTGTCAACAGATACACGCTGCTTCCTCCAGATCTTACGCAAGATCCAAACCGAGAACATCACCACCATGACGATCAACCCGAAAGCGGTGGACGACTTCAATGAGCATCGCGAGCTGTATCTCAAGCGCACAGCATGGGCAGGACGATGCAGTAGTTGGTTCAAACCCGGGCCCGATGGTACGTCTCCCATCCCTCCACCATCTCTCCTTCTCTCCCTTTCGCCTAGTTCAGTACGCTAATTCCTACCATGCATTTATTACGACGACCACAGTCGCACCGGTGATGTTCCCCGGCAACCGCATCCTCTTCATCGAGCTCCTCACCAATCCACGCTGGGAGGACTGGGACTACGAATACGGCTACGCGGGCAACCGGTTCGGGTATTGGGGGAATGGGTTCACGATGCGGGAGTTGGATGGGAGGGATACGACGTTTTATTATGGGTTGTTGGAGGATCATGTGGATGAGCAGCCGGATTATGAGGATGTTAGGGCGCTTTATGCGACCAATTGATAGATCATTTAGCGTTCGAAATGTAAGTGTATGTTGGGGTACTTGAGGGGGTATGTTGAGGGATGACTCCGTGGTATCGTTGGGTTGTTTTTGTACTGTTACTATTCGGGGATTGTCTTTATGTCTGCGCATCACTCACGATTGGTGTGGCGGCAGATGAGAACGCGGTCACGTGCTCGTGGGTCAAGACAGTCGCGACTCGCCGTTCTTGCTAGCTTGCACCTTGACGGCTTGACCTTTCGCCCCTTTTTGGCGTAACATGCTTTGAAACCTACTTGATTAAGCCATTGCTGCCAATTCTGTATCGCTCAAGTTCATTGTCATGCCTGGCAAGTCGGCCGACGCTCAGACGGAAGCTCGTGCTAACCTCCAGAAGAAGATAACTGCCCTCATTGGCACGTATCAGCTCCCTCTACCTAGTCAATACCTCGAGGTCCGGGAAGTAAACGACATCACATTGGTGAACAGAATCTCCCATGCGTTCAAGGGCGATTCCTGGATGTCGTGGTTCATCACAAATGAGCTCTGGAGATTGTACCCGAACGAATCTAGCGAACTGTACTCGGTGAGTATCAGTTTTGTCATTTCATATTTAGTGCAGAGTTGTCTTCTGAATGTCAGTCACATCTGTGTCTTTGGAATGTCGTAGCACATACGTGGAGTTCTAGTGTCTAATAAGACTTTCGCTGCTATCATGCGCGTGTACGGTGTTGAGGACTCCAACGGGAAAAGTTCGGCGGACGCGTTCGAGATGTTTGTCTCACTGCTGGTTGAGAAGAGTGGCGAAGATGGCTTGAAAGAGTGGGCTGGACCAACGTTTCTGCCTTTGATGCGAGCCGCTTATGGTGAATGCGGGACATTGAGGTGCGCACGTATCTTCTTCCGCACCGACCTAGGAAGAGACCATAACGTTTGTTCGCGTTCGTGGCAGACAGAAGCAGGAAGATATCCGAACGAGACTGTCACAAGGCTCGGCGACGTCGGTGGCGATAGAAAAGTTGGAGATTATGCTTGGATGCTCAACATGTAGCATCAATGGCTTAGAGGTCATGGACGATACGGAAGAGCAGAACGGTACGAAAGCAAAGACTGTGACGAAGGTGAAGAAAAGCACGAAAAAGAAGCCTCGTAAATCAAGGTCAAGGCCGAAGGCGAAGCAGAACGAAGAGAAGGTGGCTAAGGCTGCGAAGGCTGCGAGGAAAGCTTCAAAGGTGAAGAAGAACCAGGAGAAGGCGGCGAAGGCTACCAAGAGAGCTTCAACGACGAAGAAGAACCAGGAGAAGGCGGCGAAAGCAGCGAAGGCTACCAAGAGAGCTCCAAAGACGAAGAAGAACCAGGAGAAGGCGGCGAAGGCTGTGAAGGCTACCAAGAGAGCTTCAAAGACAAAAAAGAAAGCGAAGAAGGCGAAGCAGAAGTCGACTCGTGCGTCTGTTCTCCTCTCCACCCTCTTGTTCTCTGTCAATATCCGTTGCTAATGTCCAAGATCTCATCGAATAGAGCGCACAAAGTAGTCTCTGCGAAGACACCACTTCCACCTGAAATTGGTCCACAATTCTTTACTACCTATCTCTTCCCTCCCCCTCCCTTCTGGGCTTTTTGAGAACCGCCAGGATTCAAGTCATCATCACTGGCATACGCTTTCGTTCACGTTTCTTGTCATATCTCATCGTTTCTGTCGTCATCTTTCACAAGGACCTTGGTCTGCTATCTTGCTTTTCGAATTGCTCTTGTCGTTTTTACAAGGATCTTGTTCTCTTATCTTGCTTTTGAATTGCTCTCGACTTCAACATAGGCGCCACCTGACAATTATTCTACCTTACCTGCCTGCATCTGTCTTCTGTCTGTTCGACTGAATGCCGATGTTCCTCATGCCACCTCTACTTACGTGCAGGATATGGTAGTCGCACACAAGCACAAATTCAATTCATACAGAGGTATGACTCTGAACATCAGAGGCAGTAAGCTGTTCAGTCACTTCAGATCGTCAAAATCTCCCCCTGCGACGACTTAGCACGTCCCGGCGTCGTGCCCGTCCGTTCTCCAGCGTAACGGGTTTCTATTGGGTTAAGACTTGTTTTCACGAGTCCAATCGTACGAGGCAGATCACTTTCGCCTATCTTATCTTTCTCGCAGTGTCCTCGACGCTCGCGCCTCGCCCATCGAGATGAGTCCCCCGGACGGAGATTGCCGACCTGCGGTTTTAGGGACTTGGCCCGGCGGACGCAGCTCCTGCTCCCCAGCTCCTTCGTCGTCCCTGCAGGTCGGTACATTCTTTTATTACACGCCCTCGGCGTCTTACTGATCCTGATTTATCTTCTTCTTCGTTCTCGCAGGCACACGAGCTATTTTTTCATTGTATTATTCGCATAGCGTTCGCTCTCCGCATCTAAATAATCATTTTTCATCCCACGGAAAATTTTTCACCGACTTATGTCCAATGAAGAACAACTCCCAACCCTCCAAAAGTCCACCATCGACAAGATCACCGTCGAGGTGGAGAAGTTTCGACGATCCCAATGCACCGAAGAAGACGCCATCAGCGTTATCTCAGAGATCGTCTATCTGGAAGGGACAGCTGCCGGTATCGAACCATCCAAATGCCGCAGTGCCTGTAAGAGTTACGTCGAGACCATCAGAGAGATCTCGCGGGATCTCGAACGGCGGGTCCCTTTCGCTTCTCGCCAGACTAGGAATGGACCCAGGGAAGGGGACGACGACGACGGGAGACAGCACCCATCTAACCGCACTGGGAACGACGAGCCATCCGATCCCGCTCTTAGATCGGATCAAGATGCCGCTCGACGCGAGGTTGAGCGACGTCTTCGGAGAGCCCGAGACCAGCTCGAGGATGACGGGGACGAGGAAGACGAGAGACCTTCCAAACGGACCTTCGATGAGAAACTCCTCCCTTGGGTCAGCAGTTCATCCTCCATGTCAATCCTCCCCGCCGCATTGCTTGAAGCCAACAAGCTCAAATCAAATTACCGCGCGGACCTCCCGACTTCCCTCCAACGTCTCCATGACGCCATGGACCTACCCCAATTCCCTCGCCCTCTCTGGAAGGACCTCCTCCAAGGCTTCTATGTGGACTTCGACAAACTCTCGTCCACCATCAGATCCATCAGCGGCGACGCCACTGAACCTAGGCGCCTTGGAGAATTTGAAGTCCATTCCGATACGGTTAAGATCACTCGACGCGTCACAGATAAGCTCGAGTGGATCGAGGCCTATTCCATGTACGCCGAAGCCGTCAAGTTTGCTTTTCCCTGCCGAGAAAAGGAACTCCTCGGGTATGGCCACAATATTGCCAAGCTCTTTGCAGGGACCGCGCCTCGTTTCCACTGCACGGTTCTCGAATACGATCGCGCGATCCGTACTAGAGTCGGCCGATCAAACAACTTCCAACTCACCGATTCAGCCGAGTTCGACGATCTCGCGAAGGCTCACATGTCGCCCATCGGCATTGCCGCCCAATCTATCTTCGGATTCCAGGCCAAACCCTCTTCTGTGCCGAAAGCGCCCAGGCTCCCCACTACTCCCTCCACCGGCGAGATCTGTATACGCTTCAACATGGGCCGCAAACACGGCGACAGATGCCCTCACAAACATTGCTGCTGGCTCTGCCACAGTACCGAACATGGCGAATGCGACTGTCCACAGCGCTCCGGTCCTGCGTGAGACGAAGCGCCCCCGGTACTATCGCAATATGGTCTGGAACACTTCTTCGGCGTTCCTGACTCCATCAAACACAGCCACGTTATTTCTGCCGCCTCTTCCTTCCCCACCCGCTCCTGATGATCCTGCCTTCGCTGTCACTCGGGCCACTATCGCGGCGCACCCCGATCTTTTCAAGATCGTGACGCCCATCAACGCCGATCGGTTCTCTCGTCTCCTCGCACGACACCCGAATCGGCTACTGGTGGCGTCCGTCGTACGTGGCTTCAAAGAAGGATTCTGGCCCTTAATGGATTTGGGCGAAGAAGAGTGGTATACGCGTCCCTTCCCGGAACGTGTTTCTGCGCAGGAGGAGCGCAACTTTCTTATCGCTCAGGTACGGAAGGAGGAAGCGTTGGGGAGGCTTTCCCATGTTTTCTCACGAACAAACGAACCTTTGTGGCCCGGTATGTGCGAAGTACCCGTTCACGCGGTCCCTAAACCGGATTCGGACGACTTCCGCATGGTCATAGATCAATCTGCTGGCCCCGGCGCCCCTAACGACGCAATCCCACGCGACGCTGTTAATATCAAACTCGACAATGTCCAACATCTTGGCCACAACATCCTCGCCACCCGCCAAAGAGGCCTCGTTCCGCGACTTCTCTTCAAGAGCGATGTCGCAGGCGCCTTCCGAATCGGCCCTGCTCATCCGCTTTTTCAGGCTCGGCAAGTTATCACTGTCAATGGAGAGCGACGCGTCGACCGTTGTAATAACTTCGGGAATCGCGCGGCCGGCTATCTCTTTTGCGTCATCATGGGACTGATTCTCTGGATTGCCGAACACGAGTGGGGGATTGAGGGTTTGTTGGCATACGTCGATGACGTTTTCGGAGTAGAGGACGAGGAGGAGTTAGAGTGGTATGAGCCGTACGGAGAGTTTTACCCTCGGAAACAGGCTAGGCTGCTTTGCCTTTGGGATTATATTGGCGTGCCTCACGAGAAGCGCAAGCAGCTAAATGGACGTGCCCTGAAGATCATTGGTTTCCGCGTCGATCTTGACGATCTTTCAATCTCGATCGAGAAGGACTCGCGCCGTCTCCATGCCACGGCCATTCGGGACTTCCTCGCAGTGCGTCATCGGCCCCTGGTGGAGTGGCAGCGTATTCTCGGCTGGGCCAATTGGTTTTTGAACGTGGATCCCCTTCTCCGGCCCGGACTCCAGTCTGCGTACGCGAAGATTCGAGGGAAGAATGCCAGGAACGCGCCAGTGTTCCTGAACGTGGCGGTTAGGAAGGATTTGGGATGGTTTGCGGATCAGGTGGTGAGGTCGCGGGGCGTTTTCATGTTGGAGGTCTCGGATTGGGGTATTGGGGAGGCCGACCTGTGCATCTGGACGGATGCGTCGGGAGTCGGTCTAGGTTTTTGGTGTGGTGAAGAGAAGTTGGGTTTCCAAGCGGAACGTTTCGATTTCCCTCGCGCCGCGGGCGGAATTTTCTACTTTGAAGCATTAACGGTGGTTTCGGCTCTAGAGTGGGCGTGCGCCCGCCTAACGCGCCCGAAACGACTCGTTATCTTTTGCGACAATACCAACGCGGTCAACGTCTTCGACAAACTCAAGGCCGACGAACCGTACAACGACATTCTCTTCTACTCTATCCAACTTCGTCAACACTATGGAGTCGATCTTCGCGTGGTCTGGATCAGAAGCGAAGAGAACCCGATCGCAGATGCAATCTCGCGATTCGATCTCGGAACAGTACGTCGTCATGCACCGGGCGCTCGTATCTTGACATTTCAACCCCCTCGTCTGCCGCTGGGGGCGGCTGGATTATGAGTCTACCAACCCTATCCCCATCGTCCCGGCAATCTCGCCCACCATGGACGATGGAGCGGCTCATCCGTGAACGGGCCATCGACGTCTCGTTCGCGAAAGATAGATCCACAAAAGATTCGTATTCCTCGGCTTGTCAATCCTACATCCATTTCTGCATTATTCACAATTTCCCACTCGACCCAAACCCCGATACACTCTCACTTTACGTCGCCTGGCTCTGCACTTACATCAAGCCCAAATCAGTCGACTCATACCTCTCTGCGATCTGCTCCGAGCTCGAGGATCTCTACCCCGACGTCCGGAAGAACCGGAAATCTCCCCTTGTCAGAAATACACTCACGGGTGCTAAGAAGCGCTTCGGAACGGACACCAACCGGAAAGATCCCCTCGCTATCGAGGACATCATTCGTGTCGCGGAATCTCTATCCGATCCATCTCCCGATGATCTTCTGTTCCTGGCGCTCCTCCTCTGCGCATTCTACGGCGTCCATCGGCTAGGCGAACTCGTCGAACACGACCGTCCTGCCCTACGCGACTCCAATAAAACAATCAAACGCACATCCGTCAAGTTCTACGAGAATGACGAATGTATTTCCTATTGGCTACCAAAACACAAGGCCGACGCACTCTTTGCCGGATCCGAGGTCGTCATCCAGAAGCTTCACGACACTTTCGATCCGGTGCCAATCATTTCCCAGTACATCTCATCTCGAGATAAGCGCTTCCCACTCCACTGCCAGCTGTTCCTCACTTCCGCCGGTCGCCCCCCGACTCGTGCCTGGTTCATGCGGCGCTTCCATCACCATTTCGAAGGCAACGTTAGCGGCCATTCCGCTCGGGCCGGTGCTGCGACGTTCCTCGCATCCCTGGGCTGGTCTCGCGACTTCATTCAGCGGATGGGGAGGTGGAAATCAGACGCGTTCGAGATGTACGTGCGCAAGAATCCCTCACTATTGCAAGCATTTCTCTCTGGCGGCCGCGTCCCTCGCCCGCTCGAAGCATGACGACCTCATCTTCATATCAAAAGTACCAACAACCCCTACATCAACATCTTCATCTCAATAGCCTTATAGGTTGTCCGTCATGCTTGAATTTCACGCCCGGTCGGGCTTTTCTCGGGCGCCCTCCGGGCGCCCACCTCCGGTACTCCCACAACGTGTGCTGCGAGTCGCCTACGTCGATTGGACGTCGAGAAAAAAGAAACGGTCAAACACAAAATGAAAGACCGAATACGAAGTTTCAGTTGGGAGGAAACACCTAGAGAGGAACCGTCGAAGGGGAAAAATTCGACTCCGCCCGTAACACCAGACGGACTCTGGTGGTTGAATTATAGGTTGATAAGCGTCGGGCACGCTTGAGCCGACTAGCGAAGCGGATGATGTCAACGACGGTGGAACAGGTTCAACACCCTTCATGATACTCTGCATGAATAGTGTCCCTTCCGTCTCGCCAGGGATAGTCACCGACATACTGGAAGTATGTGAGGACGAGAAGAGAAGTGGTCGCGTGAGGTGCGGCTGGGACAACAGCCCGCAGATCGTTATCGCTGTGCATCACATCGTCCCCGTTGTTTTTATCAGGCTCGTCGTCTTCGATATCTGTATCCCCTGTGAGTTCAACAATGGCTTTATGACCTGCAAGCGCCTGAGGTTCACGTGGAACATGTACTGTACGACGAGTTTAACGGTTTACTGAGACGATTCAGAAGCCGAAGAGTACGTGACGGATACTGCATGCTGGGAAGAGAGAGAAGACGACAAAATTGTGAACTGGCGTCCATGCTAGTTCAAGAACACAAGGAAGTGAGCCAGACGAAATAAATGAACAAGTGTACCTGATGAATTCGGTTCCCCTTCCCCCCTCGCATCGCTTCGAACGACAGGCGAAGTCATGGCCTCAAATTATGGACGCTATAAAGAACTCACGTACTTACGAAGACAGTACACGATTTATATGAAGATAAAAGACGTACAGTTATAGTATCAGAGAACGGGCGAACGACTATAGCAGCATCTTGATCACAATCGTAGTCAGGTTCAACAATTTGCTTCTTCGCATTCTGCGTCGTCGTCATCGATATCATTACTAGTTGCTGACAATATGAGGCTGAAAGGGTGGATGGGTGAAGTCATGATTACTTACCTCCCGCTCGTTGTTGATTCGGGCTGGAAGCGCGAGGTCAGCGCTATATGGTCCTGGATGGACTTCACAAGCAACTTTAGATTTATTCGTTATTGTAAGATAATAGCGAGGTAGGGTAAGGAAGATGGAGGATGGAAGATGGAAGATGGAGGGCAAGACACGGGGAATAAGTATCATAAGTATTCTTTTCTCGTTGAACGCTCGCGGTCCGGGAGGGTCCGGGGTTGTCCGGAGACGCGTTCAGTCACAACTCGTGACCAAAGTCAACGGTGACTGAACGCGATCCTCCTTCTGCTTAGCTTCTACGACAACAATCTAGCTTTTTGTGAGTTCACTTGGAATTTGGTAGCACATCGAACTTCGAGGATACTTCGAGTAGAGCTCTAACATCACACGGGTCAGTGTACAAGTGATGGCGTGAGAAAGTCTGCTGATCAGCCCAAATTGCCACGTAGTCTTTAGCAGTCATTGAAGACACAGTTTCTGCGAAATTGTATTCGATTCTAACTTCTCATCTCTCTAGGTATATTCCTGCTTTTGACCTTCGCCCGCCTGGATGCCGAAATGTGAGGAGAATGATAGCGCCACCATGCTGTGTGACGCCATCGCGGGTGGCACTCACACAACACTTCCTAGTCCTGCGGTCGACTTTCTTCTCAACTTTATCAAACATGCAGAACATCTAAAAGCAGAAGATGTGGTATGCTTCATGTTTTGCGCGTCTCCATCCATTGCTTGAACGAGAATTGATTGCATTTCCTCCATAAGGCGGTGCTTCTCGACTACGGGAATACATCTTCGGACGCGGATTCAACTCGATCTCCTTGCCTTCTCGTTTACCACAACGCGGTATTTCAAGAAGAACAATGGCTTGAGATTCAGCGTATAGAACATGATGAGCAGGACAATCTCTCGAGGTACGCCCACTTTTCCATATTCGTGATCTTACTTCTCATCCTTCCGGAAACACAGGCCGCCTCGGGTCAACGTAACACGGGCCCTTTGTGTAAGAATACCTCGTGTGAGGTAGAGCATAGAGCTAACTGCTTCGCTTAAAGCTCACAGAAAAGCTCCAAATTCTTTCGGGTTCATACTTGGCGACCGTATCTTGCGCACGCCATACGAGAAAGCCCAACGTGATTCGCCATGATCTTGTTCAGGACCCTACCATACGATCTCAGCTAGGGCCATTCCATCCTTCACTTTTTCCCGTATCTGGGCCGTGGGAGTCGTACCCTGGAACAATTATCCGTGTTCCTCTCGATCAAGACCCCGATATCTCCTTTACCGACATGCACACCTCGCTCGTAGACTTCATGACCGACGAACTCAACATCACCTTGATTTTTTCCTCACACGTCTCGAGGATTGCCATCAAAGTATTCCGGTCTGACGGGACGATTAACAAACTCGCATCCACCACCATAAAATCGCAAAATGGCGACCCCAATACTGTACAGGCAGCGTTCAAGTCGTCATCGCGCACAGTCAAAATGCGCATAGGAGATATTAAGGCGGAGGAGGAATGGAATGTGATGGAATTAGCAGAGGATTTAGAAGATGAATGTGTGAGGGTCATCAGTGAGGAGATTGGTGTTGACGTTCGTGCGTGGCTAGAGCGGGAAGGACTCACTCCACGGATTCGTGTCGCGGTGCCGGTAACTTCGCCGATGGAGCGTGGCAGACTGTTCGACACGTTCCCGTTACCAATCTCGACACCGTTCCCCTTCCATCTCGACGCCCCATTCTCACTTGCCCCTAATAACCATCGCCTACGAGACCCGGAGGAGGTTGTCGAGTCAGCATCTCTCGACGAGTGAATTCTTCTTGCTTATTGTTCAGTTATGATTTTCCTGACTTCAGCACTCTTTTCAGACTGCTCATCGAATGGAACAAGGCTATATTTTCGACGCTCCTTCCCGTTGCGTGGGTGGCAGTCCTCGAAATTGTGGCTATGCAGACCACCCACCCAAATCTCGAGAATTTCTTTGCTTTTTGGCCTTCCATATACGATCTTCATCTCGAGGGCTCGCTTTATTGGACGACTATAGCGGACACTACACTACGACGTATTGTCTCAAACAACGCCACAGTGTGGCCCGCCTTCTCCCCCGATGCGGACTTCTGTTTAACTTTCACGGCTCTCGAAGGGAGCACACTCGTCGCTCCGATTGGCCAGTACGATGACCTTTTGACAATTTTCACTCTTTGCGGAATCCAAATCGTCCTCGCATCTGCCGATGTAGCAATGGTGATGGAACAGGACTCACTTTCGAGATGGCTGATGAGCCCCGATACGGTACACAAAGCACTACTGGTGTGTTATTTTCATTCTGAGGCGATGTACTTAGACTAACGTTTCGATAAAAAAAATAGTCAAAAGTAGATTTACTTGAGAACTTCGACTCCGACGATCGGGGGTCTGTACTTGCGTACTTGGTCCAAAGCGGCACGCTCGAGACGATTATTGGTCTTCCCCTTGTACCCTGCTCCAACGGCGATTTCCTATCACCACGCGCGATCATAGAAGCCGTCAGTCCTCCCATTTGCACCCTCTGCCTCACCGAACAGGAGTTCGAACTCTTCCCAAATATCGTCCAGGACATATACGTCATAGTCGACAATCTCCCTTCGTCGTTCCGCCGCTCTGATCCAAGCGGTGTCGACCTCAGGCCTCTCCAACCAGAAGACATCCAAATGTATATCCAGACGACTCTTACAGGGCTCAGTGGACTATCCGCCGACTCCGAACGATGCGTCCACGCTTGGGTATGGTCGCAGAAGATGTGGGAGTGGGCTATCGAGTGGGAGCGTGGGGACGCTCTATTCGACATCGTTGGGGGTTCGTGCATATTCCCGGCAGCACACGGGTCGTTTTGCGTTCCCAAGGATGGACTGCTTTACTTGCCTGGAATCTCGTTTGAGGCAGAGGCTGCCCTTTTCTTATATGGGGTACCTGTCTTTCTGTCTTCACTCTCCGAAGAAGTCTCGTCGTTCCTCAGGGCGAGAGGGTGCCTTCGTGCGCTTGAAAACGTCAATTGGATTCTGGAGGTCATGGCGGCGTCTACCAAACCTGTAATGGGTGTCGAGTATATGGCCGAACTTCGCCGAACGCTCGCAAGGGCGGTCCACCATGTCAACCTCAGTACGAACCAGAACCGTCTCCTACGTAGCCTCCCTATCTTCCCAATCGTTACACCCAACTCTACCGAGGCCGAGTTAGGATCCATTCCTGAAGACAGCACCATCAAGCTCATTCGTATCGACTATTATGCGGACGACGATCTCGCACCCTCCGTGAAAGCCACCCTTTGTCGACTTCCGCTGTTTATCTTACCTAAAATCCGCACCATCACCTACGTCGTTGACGACGGTATCGCCCCACGGCTCGTTCAGGCTCTCGAACCGAGCCTTCGTACCTTGAACTTCCAAGATCTCGCCCAACTCGCCGTCGAATACTTTCCCCAACAGCCCCGAGAGCTACAGAAGCTTATTCTCGATCAAGTTCAGCACAGGAGAGTCCTCTTCTCCGCCGACTTTCTTCAGCAGTTGGCATCTTCTGCCTTCCTCACCGTAGGAGACAATTCTCTTCGAGCTCCCGCGCGCGTCGTCCACCCTGATTCGGACTTTGCTCGTACCGTTCTTCACCAAAATCATCACCAATATCCGCGCATTTCTGACGATCTAGATCGCGCGATCATCGACACTCTCGGAGATATGGGCATGCTCGCCGTCCAATCTGGTCCTCTCGACGAGCCGTACATCGAGGAAGAGTCCGACGACGGCGGCGCGCTTCCTACTGTACCAATGGCGGAAAAACTCACCACCAGGATTTCGAACGCACTTCGGCAATACAGCATCGAACAAACCATCACGGAGTTCCTTGCCAACGCCATCGATGCTGGGGCTCGAAAACTCGATATCCTCATCGACGAAACCACTCAGTACCACTTATCGCGACCCGAGTCGAAAGAATTTCCACCGGCGATGACGCAGCTTCAAGCTGGCGCGGGGTTGATCATACACAATAATGCCGTGTTTACGATGGAGGATTTCGAAGGGATTCAGAAGATTGGTGAGGGTAGTAAGCGGTGGCAGGCGGGGAAGATAGGGCGGTTTGGCCTGGGAGCATTAGTGGCCTTCCATTATACCGAGGTACCTTTCACATTCCACTGGCCAAGTGGGTTGCTTACAGTTTGGAATAGGTTGTGATGGTGATCTCCGGCGAATATGTACTCTTCCTGGACCCGTCGAAGAAGTACGTCTCCAAGTCCCTCAACAAGACGACGCGGATGATGAAGATCAAGGGCCTTCGTCGGTAAGAGATATTGGATGCTTGAGCTTTGTGTTCTGTACTGAACTTGATTTAGATCACCTATGAGGTATCTGGAACGCTTTCATGGGCTGTTCGGGTTCTCAGCCGATCACGACGTGTATCCCCAGGTATGTACTGCGCTCCTATGTCTGCTTCTCGGCTGGAATATTTCGGTGGCAGACAATCTTCTGGTTGCCCTTCCGCAACGTCGAGCAAGCCAATGCAAGTGAAATATCGAAGATACCCATAGCTCTAGCTGATGCCTTGGAGCAAGTAAGGCATTACTACGAGATCTCACAGGAGTCGACCCTATTCGTCCCGATTGAGGCTCTTTCAGGCCAATATCGCGAGGCCAGTAGTCATATCGAGGAGTTATGGTCGGTCAAAGCGGAACGTAAACACACCAAGAAGGACGGTGTGACGCATGGTCGATTGGTTGTCCATTCGTCCCTTCGTCACGCAGATACATGGCTCACGGTCTCGAGGGCCCTCCCCAAGGCCGACTTCCCCGCAGAATTCCATTCCCTCTTCGCCAAGCACCTCCTTCCCGAAACGTTGACCGTCGCCCTGGCTGCGAATCATAATTCCATACTATCTCGCTCAAAGCTATTTTGCTCCCTTCCGCTCCCCATCACGACCCAGTTCCCCGTTCATGTTCACGCTTCATTCATCCTCGCAGACGACCGACGCAGCATTCGATTCGACAGCGGAATATCCAACGGCGAGTCCGAGTTCAACAGGTGGCTTTTATCCGAGGCCGTCCCCGACCTATATCTCTCTCTCCTAGAGTCGTGGCCAAGTTCCTTGCAGGAAACGAAGCTGTGGCCAAACCCTTCGGAATGCGTTGATCCCTTGGCTAAGACCATGGCTCTCGCGCTATATAAAGCCTTGGACGCATCTCGTGCCCGTGTCTGCGAGACTGTTACGAACGTTCGCGTCCCTCCGTCCGATGCAGTTCTTCTTCGGCATGTATCCCCAAAGGTCGCGAAGGTGCTACTCATGCTCTTCCCTCCAAAACTCGTTCAACTTCCCTCTGCATGGCGAACAATTACGTTCAAGTCTATCCCTAGCATCGACCCAACCTTCCTGCGTCAAGCGATCAGTACACCCTCGACAGCACGGTTTCTCTCACTCTGGGATCTAGGCAAGGTCACCCCAAGCGACGTAGCGGCGCTACTCCAATATTTTTCCATCAAGGACGTTTTTCACTTATTGGTCGATCTTCCGCTCCTTCCCCTCGCGAACCAAACCCTTGGCATCTTTGTAACTCGGACTTCAAATTATCGACACTACATTCTACGCGGTAGTCAATCCGTCGCCGTCGATCTCTTCCCGAAGAGCACCAGTCTCTTTGTTCTGGGCGACATGGAGGGGTTTGACGCCACCGCATTGCTCGGCAAAGGCTTGAACGTTGATCCTCTATCGGACGAACTGCTCGCCAGCCTCATCAAGGAGCGAATTTCCGTTTACGAAGAAGACAAAGTTCTCTCAGAAAGGGACTCTCAATGGACGCAGTTACTCTGGAAGCATATTTCCAAGGTCGACAGCGGCTCCCTCGTCTCGCTCATTCGAGATGTTCCTCTCGTCGCCGCGTCTGGTCATGACAGGGTTGTCCACATATCTCTGTTGAGATGTCGCGACGGAACTGTTCTACCGTTTCCTGACAATCTCCGAAACCGTGACACCGTCGCAGCTGCCTTGAAGCACCTAGGTGCGCTGATTGTCGGGAGAGCGTCTTTACCCCCGCGATTACGGGACGAGCTGCCATTCATGCATTTCAACCTCTACACACTACTCCGTTTCTTCTCCCACAAATCGGCCGCTGGGCTTGAGGAGGAATTCGCTGGGTTAGCGAGAGATGAATGGAATGCCTTAGCAGCGCATCTGAGAGATGTGCTGTTCGGAGCAGAGCTTTCTCGCCAACAGCGCGATCTGGCTCGTCTTCTTCCTATCTGGCCAGGCATCGAATCATCTGCAGAGGACGGGCAGGGTCGGGAAGTGCTACGCTCGACGAGATCATCACACATGCTCCCAGCGGTCATCCCGCTAGATGTCGCATTGCCGTTCTTGACCAGCACTGTGAATTATATCGGGTTCAATACCACGGTGCTTAACGTGCTCGACGTCAAGTCTCTAACATGGGCGCAGTTTCGAGAGATGCTAGTGTTTGAACAGACCCTTAGTCACGATGACATCAATCTCTACCGTCCTCTACTCCGAATCTTGGTTCGACACGTATCAGACAATCGGCCCATCCCTGTCCCAAACACCAACGGCGATATGCGATACAGCGACAAGTTATATTGCACGTTCGTCGATCTCTTCCGTATGGCGCTCGAAACAAGACCGGAGCTATTCATACATCCATCACTACGCGCTGAATTTGAACATCCCCTTTACCCTTTCGGCACACGAGCAGCCGTCACCTTCGGGACCTTCAAAGTCTGCATACAGGCTATCCACGACACGCCACCGGGCCACGTCGGACTTTATTCATTGCTCGAGAGAGCCATGGAGGCATATCGCTGGTACAACGACGATGGAGTCCTACAGAAATCGATCGTGGCCGATGAAGTGGACAATATCCGGTTCGTACCTCGGTCGCTCAACAGGAAGCGTTCACCGGATTTTCCGCTGGTTGAATTCGTGAAGGAGTTACCGGAGGTTGTGGCACCACGGGAGTTGTTGTTAGACGCATTCGAGGCGGTTGCCTGGACGCAACGAGCACTATTCCGAGAAGATTTGCGGCCAACGGATATATTATTGTTGAGACATAAGGGCTTAGGAGTGCCAAAGATTGACGAAGTTGCAAGTCTTGTTTCCTCTTGCTCGCGTTATTGTGACTGGGATACTAATATTGCTTGTAATTATAGGCCGAACATCTCCATGTTCTCGCGACTGAAGTCGCCCCTGCCCATCCATTCCATACCGACGTCATCTCAGACCTCAGAGCGGCATACAAGTACCTCATGGATCAAGAAACGAATCCCGGAGAACAGCACCCGCTTCACGAGTACATGGATGAGCCTTTGTTTCTCAACGTCGATGACCCCACTCGAGAATGGACGTTCTCCTCTGCATTCGACATACTCATCAACGCCCCCGAAGGCGGGGATTTGGCTCCCGCTCGTCGATTTTTGCATCCTTACGAAGACCTTCTTCTTCGGGTTGGTACGAAGCGGCTCAAGCCACCAACTTCATCGCGTGTCCCCGGTTCCTCTGCTACTTCAAACCTGGAACACGGTGTGGGCGGCATGTCGATGCAATTCATTGAGATGAGGCGCAATAATTATTTCACAGATGTTGTGCTCATCGACAACGAAGGGCGAGAGCATGGAGCGCACAGGATGGTATTGGCTTGTCACGGCGATCATTTGAAAGCGATGTTCCTCAGAGAGAATGGTATGATGGAAGGGAGGACGGATGCGCATCCTGGTGATCCGGTGAAGGTTGATTTGAGTGACATGTATTCCGGTGCATGTGTGGAGAGTGCACTCGGTTCGTCGTTTCTTTCGTTGATAATTTGGCGCAAAGTTCACTGAATCGGTCCACAGACTATTTCTACACCGGCCAACTCTCTGATGAGGTGCAAGACGTTCAGGTCTTGGCAGACTTGCTGGATTTATCCGAGTACTGGAACGTTCCCCATCTCCAAGCGCTCACGGAAATGCGAATGATAAGCCATATAACGCCTTGGACTGTTGATGCGTGTAAGTCCTTGCCACTCTTCCTTCCCTCGTTCTCTCATTGAAGATATCCTTTCCATCCATCGGGCGCGATAGTCTATGACCACGCAGATACTCATCGAGCCAAGACGCTCATGGAGGCATGCACCGAGTACAAGGAGGTTAATGCGGAGATATTGAGTACACTGGAACCACCACGTTCGCAAGTCTTGACTCAAGTGAAGCGCGAGTCGCAGGAGTAGAAAGGGGGCGTTGTATGCTCGAAATGGAGGAGCTTTGTGTTTCGTCATGCTTTGTTGCTTTATATCTTGCTTTGGATATTTCTGTGCTTTTAGCTGGATTGATTTACAATATATATTCTGATGTATATACTGAAACTCGAAGTTGGCTCGAAGCCATCGTTCGCCACAGCTGGGCCACATCAACCACGACTAGGAGCTCGATCAGCCATGAACGAGCCCGGTTCTAGACGATATACCGGAAATACGGTGAACGATCTGCTGCGTCGGCCCTGTTCATAGGACGCGTTAGTACTCCGCATACGTGGAGGGAGAGAACAAGGAACACCAACAGTTTCTTCTCGTCCCAATCCCTCGCGATCTCCTCTTGTGTGAGCGCGTCTCTTCGCTTGTTGATCCGTGTATACACAATCTTGAGCCAAATCGCGCAGACAATACCCATGACAGCGAGGCCGAGGGTGACACCTGGATAGACAACGTAACCTGAACGGCGGTTGGCAAGAAGGAGTGGGACTTTAAGGCATACCGTATCCAGTGTGATACCTCGGCGATTCACGAGTGAGATAGATGTTGGACGCAATGAGGCCGCTCAGGTTCCCGATACCCATGAGCATGCCCATCGAGATGACCTATTAGACGCAAGACACTCAGCGAGAGAAATAACGATAGAAGTGAAAAGCTTGAAGGAGGATGATATACCTTCTTATACCCGATCACGTTATTCGCACACCACGAAATACTGCTAGGTACGGGACTGTATGACGCGAGGACAATCAAACTAGTACGCGTTGCAAGTTGAGAACCATCGATTAGTTGAGGCTTTATGAAGAACGGAATAACCGAAACAAAAAATACATACATAAGACCGAAGAGATTCACACCGACCAGACCGCTCTTGCCCGCGGTCGCAAGACATAAGACTACGCCGACGACAGCGACACAGAACGGAATCAAGATATGTAGCTATACAATCAAGTTAGATGATTATCGATCATGCCATAACGCAAAGAAAGAGCAAAGAGAACTTACGAATCGACTCTGCCGCCGGTCACCGAGCCAGCTGTTGAAGTATGTGACGCCACATGCGGCGGCGTAGATCCTAGACGAGTAAAGCGTACGCGTGTTAACGCTATCAAAAAAAGAGACCAACTATGTCCCAGAAGTGCATACTTACGGAACCTGGATACCGTGAAAAAAGGTGAGTTAGTGGCTCAGATGGTGAAGGTAGAGGAGGGTCAGAGGGAGGGAAAAGAAAAGCACGTACGGGAACGAGGTAAGATTCGATAGTGGTGAACTTGAGTGATTTAAGGATGACGGGAAGAGTGACTAGATAGAAGATCGAGATATTAGCAACTCTATGGGAAGCTTTCTCATGTTAGCGAAGACGACGTACATGAGATCGACACGCCTACGACATCAATATCCCAGCGGCATGGTCAGTATCTATGTGATGAACATAGAGAAAAGGGCGCACCGATGGCGCTATGCGTGATAACTATACCCCGATGGATCCAAATCAAAAAGTCTTTTCAGCAACCAATCCAGAGAATAATTCAGGACGTACTCACAGACCCCAATCTGCGGAATCATCTGCCAGTCACTGAATGCCATCTTGACGTACTTCCAGTCGAAATGTTCCGCCGGAGGGATCACGCCCTGCGTAGTAGTCCAGGATAATCAGTCCTCTCGAATGCCGGTTACCAGATTAATGGACAAGGAGTCGGTGAACGTACAGTGGTACTGTATCGCTGACGGAGTATGAGGAACCGACGTTCTTCGTCGGTGAGCCATTTACCGGAATGAGGTATGCTGTAGAAACACGTCAGTACAATGTAGCGGTATGGACAAGTACAGTGAACGAATTTAGCAGCTTACCTGTCTAAGACAATGAGCGGCCCCAAGAGACCAACAAGCACCGTAATCAAGCCCTCGATCAAGCTATCATGCACCAAGTCAAATGTCAACATTCACCGCTTGATTTTTTCTTCATAAACTCACAAAATCCACCTCCACCCCTCCATCCCGGCCTTCCCATCCAGAAAGCTGATTCCGTACGCCAGTATGCCCGAGAACGCGCCGGCGATACTGGCAGAGCAGAAGAAGATGCTGACGCGGGAGGCTAACTCGGTGCGAGAGTACCAGGTCGAGAGTGTGTAGCCGGCAGCGGGGAACATTCCGGATTCGGTGATACCGAGGAAGATGCGGGCAACTTGAAAGCCATGGTAGGATTGGACTGTGAAGAAAAGAGGGGTATAGACGTTGGTCTCGATAGCGAGAAGAGAATGAAGGAGATATGATATTTGAATGGAGGCGAGATGGAGGGACGCACTGAGCGAGGTAAGCGTCATAACGAGACCCCAAGAAAGCGTCATTGCTGAAATGTACCACTTCGGGCGGAACTTCTTGAGCGCGATTTGGGAGGGGATCTCGAAGACGATCTATGGTCCAGTTTAACTCATCAGCTCTCCGTGGCGGTGGATTTTGAGTGATACTCCACCTACATAGAAGACGTAGAAACAGGAAAGAGCGGTGTTGTACTGCGCGTCGGTCATGGGGATGGTCGTGAGTAGACCAGCGACCTTTGCATTTCCAACATCTGTGCAAAGGGAGGTCAATGAGAAACTATGGTTGTATCCAATAGGAAGAAAAAAATCAGAATAACAACTTACTTCCTCTGTCGAGGAACGAAAGCAGATAGAGCAGCGCAAAGACTGGGATGAGGCGAAGCTGTAAATTGATGTGGCGCGCCATGTTGGTCTCAGGTAATCAAGACGTCTCGATGAGTGGTGAAGATACTCACATCCACTTTCCAAAGAAGTTTCCGGAGCACAGGGCCAGTATACTTCGCATTCAGAACCTGTACAGTCGAGTTAGAGATGTGACCAACAACGTCTCGCGATGCCGAAACCGACTTTAAAGTCCTCGAGCTCCTCCTCGTACATCGACGCTCCCTGGATGACGACAGACGTCTCTCCGTCATTCTTCTTCTCGTTGTCTGACTGCGACATTTCTAAGCAAGACCTAGCGACAGAAGCGACGTTGGACCGAACACGTCGCAGAAGAAGAGAGGGACGGGCTCTTGCCTTGCGCTTTATATAGGCCTGCAAATGTTGCGCGATAGCTCAAGTGCTCACGCTAGGTTATCGCTAGGCGCCCGCTCGTCTACGGTCTGCTATCATCGTCAAGTATATCTTCTCTGAGCAGAGCAGGATATCATGAAGCTCAAGTCGATACGAGCTCGGGTTCTTCGTTATCGTGGAATGAGTGAAGAAAGATCCGGCTGATGGGCCACCGTTGTTCAATAACGGGTGGGCCTGCTACGGTGCCACTCCCGCCCGACTCGGAACCTTCCCGCTGATGTTCGAATTTCGTGAACTCACGGCTTTCTTCCCGACTTTCCTTGCATGGCTGCCTTCGTACTCTTCGAGGAGCTTGGATGCTATGATTGTATCTTCTTTGGATCGTTACTAATCTCACGGGCTCCTCTGGATATCTCTTTGAAGAGTTCGAAAACACTGGACACGGAACTGTGATGACTCGTGAAACATTGACGCTCTACCAGCTGGGGTACAACGCGGAGACACCGATGTCGATGGCCCCTCACGTCTGGAAGACACTGCTGCCGTTACGAAGACTAGGAGTCGAGTTCAAGCGCGAGCTTGTTACACTTACGCAACTTAGGGAGGAACTTCCGCAGAAGTTAGGGTATGAGAAAGTTACCCTGCCGGTGCGTGTATCAATCTCCAGCAGAAGGAGTTACACTCACGAATGAGTCGATTATATAGACCTTGTTGATAACGGCAGAGAATGGAAGTACGTCGACGGTCATGGACTCGTATCGCATTGCACAGTACGTGAGTCAACTTCCTGTCAATATATATCGCGAGTGTTGGAATTGACTGTTCGGCTGGCATCGTAGCTCGAGCAACGATTCGCAGCGTCAACGGTATCGCTGTTTGCACCAGCGTGTGACGGCCCACCAGAAGATGTGATAGCCGGACGAAACTTTGCAAGGTTTATGGAAGAATTCGTAGGCCCAACCCATACATCTCATTTGTTTGTTAACTTGAGTTGACTTGAACGTTGCATAGGTCGACAAAGATCTTGCACATGAACTCCGACCGTGTGTTTTGCACACTGTATGCCCTTCGCTTTATGTTGATTATGGTATCTCCCTGATATCGTGTTACACCCCTAGTCTTACGCCACATTCGCCACAGAAGGACCGATGCACGACCCTAAGAGCCGTGCCCACTTCCTGGCAAAATGTGGGCAGGATAAGATGGATGAGCTGACGGCTTGTAACTCAGACTTGGCCTGGAAGGAGGACCAGTATGCGAAAGCACGGAAACAGTGGGTCTCCATTGCATATATATTGCCCTTCCTCGCCGCTTCCGCCCTATAACCGTCTTCTCTACGACGTTCTCTTTTCATGGTGACGTCAGTGCGCTGACCATGTTTTGATCTTTATGGCAGAATGGGAATCATCAATTCCATACTTAAAGAACGCTTCGAAGCTGGTATAGAGGACATCTTCCTCGCGGGCGCTAAACCTACCCATGTCGACTTCGTCATCTTCGCGTACGTTCCCTTCACAATCCCTCTATCCGTCTCTCCACTTCGCCTCAGCGTCTTTCTGTCCTCTGAAAACGCCAACTGAATCCTCCTTCTGCTGATAATCGAACAGGTTCTACCCCTACTCTCTTACGAACTCCGATCTCGTCCGTAATACATGGCGGCACCCTTCACTTCCTTATATCGGAAAATGGCTGGATGCGATATTTGACAGCGGTTTGGTGAGAAGGGAGGAGCTTTGGCCGGAACCTGATGTCACACGAGAGTAGGAACCTCCGGGTACATTCATCCTTCCGAAGGCTAAAGGTATGGTGTACGAATCTGTACAGGTACCGGTTGTAGGCAGTGGGTTAAGTCGGAGGCGGCATCGGTGTTTTGGCCATGACGGTCCGATGCATCTGTATGGACAATTTTCTGTTACTTTTCAGGGAGGAATACACGGCCATGGAGCGCCCCGTTCTATCTTTTCGGACGGTATCTAATGAACCAATGGGTTCTACTCTTCCAAGTTTCCAAAACAACATCGGTAACATTGAATAGGCTGTGATTGAGCTGCGAGTGCTACGTATTATTACAAACAATGAGATCTTCCCTTCGGCCGTCCTTTGGGCTCTTTCCTACCTCTCAACCCGTCCTCATGATGAGATGAACCCCGCTGTCTGAGCTTACCACCTCGCTAATCTGCCCCACCTGGAGAGCAAACGCAGCATCTTCGAAAGATTTCTGCATTTGTCCAGGCTTGAACCAGCCAAGATCTCCGCCGTGATCATGAGAGGAGTCATCGGAGTGAACACGAGCGAGGTCAGCGAACTTGGAAGCAGATCCGTTGATCTCATTGTTGTACGCTATGAGCAAAGCGATTGCCTTTTCCTTGGAGCGCGTGATATTAGGCTAACAAAGGATCGGACTCGTCATTCAGTCACAAATGAGTAGACCGCATTGGGACATTCGTACCTCCTTCCAACTCGAGGGCCTCCTACTGCCGCTGTGCTTCACGAGCAGATGGCTAGCACGAATGCGTGACGGCCGCCCCCCGTCTCCACCTCCCAAATATTCAGCCGCTCCCGGAAGAGCATGAACCTGTTCCCGAGTAAGACTAGCTATGTACAGACCTGGCGGCTGCGTCGCAGCGAAGCGTGCAGCCACAGCGGAGGTGGCGTTCGTCACATATGACTAAGCGTGACTGAGCGCGAAGGCGACGCGCGTCGTGCTCTTGTCGCGTCGTGTCCTGCGAGCCAAACGACGAGATCCTCTACGCTATTCCTGGTGTTGTTGCACATCTTTCTCTTCTTCTTCTTCTTCCCATGTCGAACGCGGACTGGGGTACAGCCAAGAAGCCGAATGATCACTGTTGGCGGCTTATTCGGGAACTGGAGAAGCGAGAGAATGCAAAGGTCATCTATGGTCTCCGACCGGGTGAGGTGTGTACTGTTCGGTCCTAGCATTTTGTACTCTATCTTACATGATTGTTCCTCCAGAAATCATCTGGAGAGACTAAAATCACTGTCTGTCAACGTATGGCTAAAGCTTTGTGGCCCAACTGTACCGATCTTGTCCGAGCTGGACAGCAGGTCAAGACGAAGTGCGAGAGGTACGCCATGCTCACCTTGCGCTATCCTCTCTCCCTCATTTTGTTGTGTGAAGCTTGGCAAAGGTTTATAGAGAGAAGTCGAAGGGTATTAAGGAAACTGGTGGAGGACTAGAAGGTCATGAGCAGGGCACAGAGGTCTTGATGGAGTTCTATGTCCCTGCTCATGGCCCTGATCATGACACCCCGGAGAAGTACAC